GGGGCCAGGCTATGGAGCCAGAAGATTATTTCTCCTTAGCTTACCACTTCTTGCTGTGTTTGCTGAATCCGGATATAGCCTTGTTTGAATTTGGGGCCCCCTCGTTAGACTCTAATCAAATCTGCGTGTTAAACACCGCTATTTTCATCCCTTTCACCAGCAAATACTAGCTGTGGGCTGCCTCTGAAAATGCTGCGGAAGACACCCATCTATACGTGCGGCACGTACTTGGTGATGCTGGTCCCACCGCCAGGGGGCGCCGGCAGCTCTGCCACCCGTTCTCTTTTCGGTGGGACAAGTGGTTTGTCGTCTTTAAAAAGTAAGTGTCTTTGATCTGTGGCACTTTGCCCAATTTGTCTCTAACTTCAAAATTTAAGGCTTTTCGGGGTGCCTGGGTGGCTCAGTCGCTAAGAGTCCCACTTTGGCTAAGGTCATGATCTGACGGTTCGTGAGTTGGAGCCCGCATCAGCTCTCTGCTGTCAGCGCAGAGCTCACTTCAGATCCTCTGTCCCGCTGTCTCTCTCTGCCCCTCTGCTCGTTCGTGTTCTCTCTCTCTCTGAAATAAATAAATAAATGAAATTTAAGGCTTTTCTATTAATGATGTTAAACTTTGTTAAAGTTGTTTGCAGAAGCTATTTGATACCAACACAAAAACTTATCAATACAGTCATAGGATAGGGGGAATTAAAAATACAATTTTTGTAGATGATATAATAATATACTTTGCAAAACCATCCTGTAAAATTGCTAGAAATAATGAGTTCAGGACAATTTTAGAAAACACTCTGTTGCCACAGTATTTACTGATGACCCAGCAAGAGCTCTACCCAGTATGAATAGAGTTCCAAAGCTCTTAAGTATGTGAAGTGCCTCCATTTTAGGGCACGTAAACAAAAGGTTAAGCAAAAAATTTGGAACTTAATTTGGAAATTAATGTTGTTAATTAAGTGTATGTGTATTTTTTATAAAAGAGGGAGGCATACTCTATAAAGTGTTGTGATTTTGGCTTCAGAGGAGACAAATAGTTAAATGGAATAAGACATAGAACCAAAATCAAGAATCAAAAAATATTTCAGGGCGCCTGGCTGCTTCAGTTGGTAGAACATGCCAACTCGATCTTGGGGCCGTGAGTTCAAGCTCCAGGTGGGGTGTAGAGATTACTTAAAAATATCTTAAAAGAATGTTTCCTTTACATGGCCATTTTCTAACTTTCTAAGGGACATCATTTGACCCATCTGAGCCTCAGTTTTCCCACCTACAAAGAATAAAAGGATAGTATCTCACACTGTTGTTTGATGATCATATGCAAGAAAGTTATGTTAGAGTTTTTATAAAAAACAAAAACCCGAATGTTTCTTTTATATATGGTAACAGTTTTTCTTTGAAAGTTGTTTAGAAAAATAAAATGTTTTAAAATCTGTTTGTTTTCATTTCCCAATATTTTCATATTCTGTGCTCTTAAAATGATTTGCTTACAGCTATCCCAGTAAAGGATTATATTTCACATGTAGACTTTTAAAAAGGCATTTTGTACTCTAAGCCTGAAGATATAAATTGGACCTCAGCAGTTGATACAAAATCATTTTTCTCATATCAACCTTTGGGCCATTTCAAGTAGTTGCATGTGTTGGGGATTTAGATCTTCATAATAGCTCAAAACTCTTTCGCCTGTAGAATCCAATTGGTTGGACTTTTTCTCAACAGCTTGTTATCTCTGGCAGTTCATGTGACCACAATGTCCCCTTTAGCTCTTGAATAAATGATGTAAATTTACTATTAGTCTTTTTTTTTTAATACTAGCTTTATTGAGATCTAACTTACATACCATAAAATCCATACCTTTTAGGTATACTGTTCACTGGTTTTTAGTATATTCAGAGTTGTGTAACCATTACCACTATCTAATTCTAGAACGTTTTTATCACTCCATACCCATTAGCAGCCACACTCTTTTCTCTCCTCACCCCAGCCCCTGGCATCCATCAGTCTTTCTGTCTATATGAGTTTATCCCTGGACTTTTCATATTTATGGAATTATATATATGTTTTTGTGACTGGCTTTTTGTTTTTAAGGTTCATCCATTTGGTAGCACAAAATCATGACTTCATTCCTTTTTATGGCTAAATTATATTCCATTGTATGGATAGACCCCATTTTGTTGAAATTTGGATTGTTTCTCCCTTCTTGCTATTTTGCATAATGCTGCTATGAACATTCTAGTACAAGTTTTTGTGTGGGCATGTCTTCATTTCTCTTGTGTGTATACATAGGAGTAGAATGTTCGTCATATGGTAGCTATATGTTTAGCCTTTGGAGGGACTGCCAAACTGTTTTCCAAATGCATCATTTTACGTTCTCATCAGTAACGTAAAATGGTTCCAATTTCTCCACATCCTCACTGACATTTATTTTTTGTTTTTTAAAAATCTAGCCATCCTAATGGGTATGAAGTGGTATTTCATTGTGGTTTTGATTTGCACTTCCCTAATGACTAATGACGTTGAACATCTTTTCTTGTGCTTATTGGCCATTTGTACGTCCCCCTTGGAGAACTATCTATTCAGATCCCTTGTCCATTTTTAAATTGGGTTATTTATTTACCATTAGTCTTATTAAAGTCTTTTTTTAGTCTCTGGCATGGCTTTTTCACTCACTTAAAATTGGCCCCATTTGATTAAAGTAGGACTTCACAGCACCATTTTTTCATGAGGCTATAGCTTACATAGTGATTCTATTCTAGTCCCAACAAATCCGTAAATACTTAAATTTGTTTCCTGTTCCACATTGGTCACTGTGGAGGCTACACCATAAGTGGGAGAACTGGTGCTTGCTTTGAGGAGCTCCTCGTCTGGTCGGGAGAAATGTTGTACATGTGTGGAACAAGGAGAAAATGGTACACAATGCCGTATCACTGCCTGAGCGGTGGGGAGATGAAGTGCTGTAGGATGTGAGAGAAAGGGTCATTGTGGAGTGAACTAGAAAGGAGACCCGTCCTGAGGTCTTGGGTTTAAGTTGTGCAAAATAGGTATTATTCATGTAAGTGGCCAATGTGGGAAAACCCAATGAAAAAGAGATTTGGGGCAGATGATTTGTTATGGTGCAGGTTGCAACAGCAGCACGTAGAAAATACAGTACAGTTTAGAGTATAGCTTGAGTCTGGTGTAGTGAGGACCTGGATTACAGGGGGGATGGGAACAAGAAAGAGGAGCTTAAGAGACAGGGCTAGAATTTTATGTTTGAAAACGGAAAAGAAATGGTTATAGCGAGTACAGCTGTGCTGGTGTAGAGCCTGTAGAAAGGCTTTAACTCATTTAATTTTCACGATAACTACATAAGGTGGGTGCTTCTATGATCTCTACTTTGTACATGAGGAAATGGAGAGGTTTGGTAAATTTCCCAGGGTCTCGCAGAACTGGTACAACTGGAATTCAAACCCAGAAAACCCAGAGCCGTGCCTGTCATCACCATGCTATGCTATGTTAAGAGAAAAGGCCAAAGTGTCTCCAAGTTCTAGAGCCAGTGCTTGGAGGGACAGCATCCCAGCTCTGTTTGAGTGTCTGCTAACCTTTGTTGAGTAGCAACTGTATATGAGATATTTCTCGTTAGTGGTATTTCCTGGTGATGTTAGTGAGCGTAACTCCTCTTGCAATTACCCTTTTGATAATCTGTATTGAAAAATATATGTAAAAGTTGCCATCTGAAAAACACTTTGAGAAATATGGCTATTTTTTAAAGTTTATCAAAAAAATTTTTAAACGTTTATTTATTATTGAGAGACAGAGCATGAGCAGGGGAGGGGCTGAGAGATGGGGAGACCCAGAATGTGAAGCAGGCTCCATCCAGGCTCTGAGCTGTCAGCACAGAGCCTGACACGGGGCTCGAACTCACAAACTGTGAGATCATGACCTGAGCCGAAGTTGGACGCTCAACCGACTGAGCCACCCAGGTTCCCCAGAGTTTATTTATTTAGAGACAGCGTGTGCATGAGCGGGGTGGGACAGAAGGAGAGGGAGGGGGGGAGAGAGAGAGAATCCCAGGCAGGCTCTGTGCTCTCAGCTTGGGTCCAGTGCAGGGCGTGAACCCACGAACCATGAGATCGTGATCTGAGCCAAAACGAAGAGTCGGCTACTTAACTAACTGAGGAAAAGTATGGCTAGCTATTTAGGAAGATGTGACTGTTTTCTTTCTTGTGGTCTTACGTGTGTATTCTGTCTCTTCATTGTTCCCACCAATAGGCAACAACAACAAAAGGTGTGATTTTTGTGAAAGTCTTGTTAAGAGCCTAAAGTTTAAACTTTGAAAAGTAGGCCATCGCCGTAAGGCGTATTAAACAAGCTTAATGTTTGTTTCCAAAGTCCTTGCCTCTAGCTTGGTGTATAACATTTCGGATGGTCAGTTCACAAGTCGCGCCGATCTCATAGATGCTGCTGGAAGCTCTCTTGGTCGTGGTGCTCTTGTACCAGGATTGGGTAAGACGTGTCCGTATTTCCCTGGAAAATTCAAAATTTTAGCAGTTTCTCGCAGAAAAATCTTGTCATTTCCCTGTGGTTTCTATTTTCCTTGCAAGAAAGAATTTTTTGATACTGTTTAATTTTGAGGATCAATGTAAGAAACTGTCAAGGTGAAATTCTTCCACATAAATTGCTATTGAAGATACTGTCCATTAGGTTGTATGATGGTGCCCTTAACAAATTCCCCTCAAATTCATGCTGTAAAAAAGTTTATTTTCCATGAGGAATCAGTATGCTCCTTATTGTTAGGAAATGAACATTATGTAATATATTGGATTTTCTCTTTGCTTTGGCTCCTAGGAAGCTCATACCTACGTTTGGGCTTGGTTACTAAGGCTCTAATTGGGTGTTAATGTTCATAAGTCCTGGTTTTGATTTAAGCCACTTAAATCCTTTTTGGAATTAAAAGGGTCACATATAAGTCCGTTACTAAGATCTGTCTGTTTCACAAGACTTACTCCATTCTCACGTAGGAGTTAAGCAAAGTAGAAATGGAGTCCTGCCTTCATGCTGATTCCTTCTAATGCTTTGCCAAACAAAGATATGGGAATTAGGGGTATGGATTGTCAGTGGTGGGGAGAATCGCCTTTGCATTCTGTAGCGGTGCTTTTGGGAAGTCTGTATACAGGCCGATGGTGACTTGACCGGTGAATACAATGTGCTCTTTGCAGGTGCCTGTTACGATACAGTGAACAACATGCTGTGGACATGCTCAAACGATTATATTGATCAGTGGTGTAATCCTGGGAACCAGGCCTTCCATTATGTCTGCCAGAGACTTGGAGTCAGCCACATCATCACAGAGCCCAAAGGTGAAGTGCACTCATGGTCTTATAGGAAAAGACTTCTCCTTCACGAAATAAATTAGGAGAGAGCACAGCAGTACTAGTAAGTGGGAACATAGGCCAAGCGACAAAATGTGTCAACAGCCTTCCCACTTTGAACTTAGAAACCTGACCTGCTTGCTGCCTGGTTGGTTTGTGATTAAATAAATCTGTAAATAGAGGATTTGAGCTAGTCCCATAGATTTAAAAAAAATTTTTTTTTTAATGTTTATTTTTGAGAGAGAGAGAGACCGAGCATGAGTGGGGTGGGGCAGAAAGAGAGGGAAACACAGAATCTGAAGTGGGCTTCAGGCTCTGAGCTGTCAGCACAAAGCCCAATGTGGGGCTCGAACCCACAAACCGCGAGATCATGACCTGAGCCAAAAGATGGATGCTTAACCGATTGAACCACCCGGGCGCCCCAGTCCATAGAGTTCTTTAGAGCAAACTGTTACATCACTCTGAAATTGTCAGAACCGTGGTGCAAAAAATGATGATTTGTACTTGCCGTGGGTTATTTGGTGTTTTAATGTTTTACACTGATAACTTATTTATAAACAAACTTAGATGGAATTAAGTATGTATTGTTAATATTAACTTAAAAGCGAGTGGCTTCAAGGTCAGTTACAGTGGTATAGAAGAGCACATCTTCCCCCCTTACAGTAACGGTGAAAGGGACATAATTACCAAAAGCAACTATTTCTAGGCTCTGGAAACTGACCAAAGGCATACACCAAATTGAGAAGTGAATCCTCATAAAACCACTGAACTTTGGGTAAGAGAAGCGGAAGTCTGTGGTATTCTCAGCTGGGATGGAAGCTCCCGTCCTCCACTGTAATTTCGGTCAGTGCAGTGACCCCCCCCCCCCAGGGTGTGGCGGGTCATGTCAGTGACCCCACCGGCATGGGGCAGATCATGTCAACCGGCAGCTTTGCTGCCGGAGGAGGCTGACTCGATTTGGAGCAGAGCGTGGAAAAAACTCCTGCCCAACCCCGGTGTCAGTAACAATACTCGTCTGTGTGGCACGCCAGCTGAGAAGACCAGTGGCTTAGCTGGCCTGAGGTTGTGGTTTTGATGAGGGCGAGCAGAGAGCCAGCGGACTAGCCAGAGATGAGCTCCTGAGATCCGGGTCAGGAGAAAGCTGCACGGGGCCTTGGTAAGCTCCCTGCACATCTGCATAGAAGAAGTTGGAGAGGACCCAGCGTGTTCACACAGGCCTGGCCGAGCACGAGCCTGTATATACCTGTGACAATGTGAGAGGGCCCGACAGAAATCCAGGGCAGAACCGAAAGCTGTATGAGCCTTGACGTGCTCCCCCCAAAAGAGAGACCCAGCCAGGGTGGCTGACTTACTGGCTCAAGGCGTTTGAGCACAACCTTTGACTCAGACTAGGTGACCCCTAGGAAAGCAGGCTTAAAAGTAAAAACAATAATGAGAGTAAACAGGTAAAGAAGGTAAAAATGTAGAAACAAGAATTAAAAAAAACCCAAACCAAACAAATTAGTAGCTACACACTGCAGACACAACTCAGAAGTGGGACTTAGCAGATAAAGACTAAAGTAGCCTTTCATACATATACTGAAAGATCTAAAGGAAACCCTGTGGAAAAAGATGACTTAAGAATAGAGAATGTCAACAAATAATGTTTGAAAAAAGAACCAGTTGGAAATTCTGGATTTGAAAAGTTCAGTGACTGAAGAGAGAAAAAATCATTAAGAGGGCTCAGCAGCAGGCTTGAGATGGTGGGAAAAATAAATCCGCAACTTGGACCTAGCTGGATAGAGTCTTCCTATTTGAAGAACGGAAAAGGACACTTCTGGGGACTACTGGTCAGGTATTTTATAGAATGTCCTTCGGTTTGGGTTCATCTGATGTTTTCTCATTTTTTTTTTTTTTAAGTTTACTTTGAGAGCACGTGCATGTGAGCAGGGAAGGGGCAGAGAGAGAGAGAGAGAGAGGTGGGGGGGGGGAGGCAGGGAGAGAGAGAATCCCAAGCAGGCTCCATTTTGCACTACCCGGGCTACACTACCTCTTGCCTAAACATTGGTTTTACTTTGCCAGATTCTCATAGTGGCCCGCTCACTGGTCTTCCTGCTTCCTCCACGGTTGCCCTCCGCCCCTGTAGGCTCCTTTCCGCCCGGCAACCAGTCTCAGTGTCAGGAGTCAGGTCTGTCCCTCCTTTGCTCAGACTCCTCCACCAGCTTCCCATCTAACTCAGCATAAAAATCAAAGACCTTATTTATTTGGGTAGGTCCCAGAGGCTAGCTTTCTGAAAGTCTTTGGTGAGGACGAGTAGTATTAACCCGAATTCTATTGTCCTAAAAGCAAAGGGACTCAAAGACATAAAAGAGAACTGGCCCTCCAGTTAATATACAATTGAAAAGTTTAGTTTTGGCCAAGTTTACCTTCTCATTGGTTTTCCTTGAGTCCTTCCTCATAGTCCCCAGTGCCCACCATCCTTTAGCGACTCCAAGGTCCCCCTACCCAGGCCTGCCTCTCCCAGATTGCTGCTTTCCTGTTCCTGGTAGGCAATTAATTTCAGCTACTTTAAGGGGGAAAAGCAGGGTTGGGTTTTTTTGTTTTGTTCTGTTTTTCACTCTGCCTGTTTAGATTACTTTCACATCCATTTCCTGAATGGCTGTGACCGTCCATGGGCTGTTTATTATTATGTAAGAGGATGCTTGTGAATGCTCACAGTTGAACTGATGGCTCTCTAGGTTGTGGTGACTGAGATAAAAATGTTGAGGTACCGTGGGAGGAGATATTTGTGGACCTGGGAGTGGGGATGCGGTGGGGGTGGTGTTCCATCACAGAGAAGTCATAGAAGGTAGATTTTACTAGATTGGTTGCAGCATGGCCTCTGAGCGGAAATGACCTGAATGCAAATCCCAGCTCTACACTTAGTATCTGTGTGACCCAGGGCGAGTTACTTAACCTCTCTGACCTTGATTGACTCCTCTACAAAACAGGGCTAAAATAGTCTAAGTTTTATAACGGTATTGTAAGGTAATGCATGTAAAACATTTAGCCTGTTGTCCGGCATATAGAAAGGGCTCTCTAAGTGGTTAGTCACTTCTGCCCTTTAAAAATGGGGATTTCCTAGGGGCGCCTGGGTGGCTCAGTCAGTTAAGCGTCTGACTTCGGCTCAGGCCATGATCTCGCAGTTTGTGAGCTCGAGTTCTGCGTCGGGCTCTGTGCTGACCGCTCGGAGCCTGGAGCCTGCTTCAAATTCTGTGTCTACCCCTCTCTCTGCCCTTCCCATGCTCTGTCTCTTGTCTTTTAATAATAAATAAACGTTAATTTTAAAAAAAATGGGGATTTCCTAGCGTTTTCATTTTCGCCCCAGCACTCTGTGGCAGGGAAAAGGATTCTCCAGAGGTAGTAGAAGAGATGGGAGCCAAGATCCTCTGTCCTAGTATGTGTGTTCCTTTTGTAAGTCAGAGTTCTGCTCCTTGGAGGCCACCCATGGAGATGCCTTTCCTCACTGAGTTTCTTTTTCATTTTCTAGAAGAGGCTATAACCACGAATGAGGTTATAAACCAGTTACTGCACCATGTGGGTGCGATGTGCATACACCAACTCAATCTTCTTGCCACCAACCCCAATCTTCCAATCACAAGTGTCTTGGGCAAGCAGCATCCAATCGAAGCCCACCATCTTAGCAGTATTTGTGACATTATGGAGAAGGCCATGGTTAATGGAGATACTTGTATCATACGCTGTATTCTCGTTGTCTTTCAGGTAAATGCACCGTTTCGACATAAGATACTAGAGAAAAAGAAACACAAAACTTGTTTTCAGCCAGCTAATTGCCACCAAAAGAGAAATTTAATAACATTCCCGTCTTGCATCATAACCACACTCTAATCCTGTAATTAGGAATGATAATCATATTCGTTGCACTGCAGTTAATGGAGTATGGCTATATGTAGCTCACTGCAATTAATAGATGTAAAATATTTACTATAATTACACTATTACACAATAGAAGAGAGTGTGGTTAAAAATCCACCTGGATGTCTGTTCATAAGAATATCTACTATGTGCTTTTTTTCATAGGGATAATTTTATCCTTAGTAGAATAAGCATTTTTAGATACACCCCCTATGTTTCCGTAGGTGGTATTTAAATTTTTCTTCAGCCCACAAACTGAAAGAAACCGAGACATCATTCGACGGTCTGGATTGCTGCTTTGGCAGTTGTTGATGGCACCAAAAGATCAAATTTGCCCTGAAATTCAGAAGGAAGTCTGTCTTGCCATCAGGTAATCAGATGACTTTCTTCATGCTTTCTGCAAAATGCGTCTCCTGTGCCACCCTGTACCCTCTGTACTCTACTGGCTGGTGGCCTGGAAGCCTCTGACCTCATCCCATAGTCAGGGCCTCGTGCACAGGGGATAATTTGGCCAGAGAGGGCTTGTGGCCCCACTCCCAGAGGCCCCAAGCCACATAACTATGTGTCCTCATCTTACCTTTCGGATTTTAAAAGAAAGAAAAAAAATTTTTAGATCTTTAATTGGGTATTTTGATGGTTTGCAAGTGAAGGTTCCTGTCCTGTGTGAAGAGAGTGTCACAAAGTGACTAAGAAGCCAGGCTTTGGGCAGCCGGCAGACCTGGGTTCTAGTCCTTGCTCTGCCACTTACTAGCTCGGTTTGAGGTTTCCTTTTCCTTAGCTATAAAATGGGCATAAAAATAACACCTACTATGAGAGTTTGTGAGAGCTTAGTAAAATGCAAAGTACCTTTTAAATTCTGCTTAAAACCTAACATCTTGTTAGAGAAGAGGGCAGAATATATGGGCCATTTTCTGTTTGTTATTATTTAATAATATTGTTTAATATTTAATATTGTTTTCTGAGTGCAATGAACTGTTATCCAGGAATATAGTTTTAATGTGACCAAGTATAATTTAGTGACCAAGGGACAACTGAATGCTTGGTCTGCAAGAACTGTGTGACAGGGGTGAGCAGAGAGGGAGGGGATTTTTTTCCTTCCATAGTTGATTATGCTTTGGGTATCTTTTCTGATTTATTTATTTTTAAGTTTTTTTTTTTTTAAACGTATGTTTATTTTTGAGAGCGAGCATACGCGCGCATGCTTGAGTGGGGAAGGGGCAGAGAGAGAGAGGGAGACACAGAATCCAAAGTGGGCTCCAGGCTCTGAGCTGTCAGCACAGAGCCTGACGCGGGGCCTGAACTCACAAACCACGAGATCATGACCTGAGCTGAAGTCAGATGCCCCTGTTTCTAATTTAAATCTAGTGTCATGAGGAAACTTCTGGAGGTGATGGCTGTGTTCTGACTATGGTGATGGCTTCATGGGTATACCCATATGTCAAAACTTGTCATATTGTACACTTGAAAAATGTTCACTTTATTGTGTGGAAACCTCACAGAAAAAAAAAAAATTCTGGCACCACTTGTGATGCTCCTCTTGCCCATTTGGAAAAGCTGAGATTTAGAAATGCCACTTCCCAAATGTGCTTTTGGGCACAGTCTGCGAATATCTACCTGGCCCGGCTGCACTGACTTTTTTACAGCTCAGTTCTCTCTTACCAGTTCCATATCCAGCCTCAGGCAAGTTCTCATTCTGGAAACTCGCAGGAGGAGAGGGAGCCTGTTGGTTGCTGATCAGGGAGGTGAATGGACTGTATCATGATGTTGAATTTAGGTTCAGCCACTTTGTTAGTCATGAAACTTCCCTCAGAGTTTCATGTAATCACTGGCATCTTTAATATAAGTGCAAATTAAAATATCTAGAGTTTGGATTTTCTAGAATATTTGTTGAAAAGCATTTTGACCTTTCTGTCATTTCAGCTCTGGCTTAAATATCTTGTACCCAGGTGAAACCGAAATCAATAACTTACTTAAGCTGGTCTTAACGGAAGGTGAGAATTATCCCTGACTTCTCCTGGAACAGCCATCCCTTTTTTTGTCCGCGAGGAACCAACTGGATTATTATGATAATAGACCTTTCTTGTTTGTTAGTATTTGTTAGTATTTTTTTTTCAAAGTTCACTTTTTTTTTTTTAATTTTTTTTTTTCAACGTTTATTTATTTTTGGGACAGAGAGAGACAGAGAATGAATGGGGGAGGGGGCAGAGAGAGAGGGAGACACAGAATCGGAAACAGGCTCCAGGCTCTGAGCCATCAGCCCAGCGCCCGACGTGGGGCTCGAACTCATGGACTGTGAGATCGTGACCTGGCTGAAGTCGGACGCTTAACTGACTGCGCCACCCAGGCGCCCCTCAAAGTTCACTTTTGAGAGAGAGACAGAATGCGAACGGGGGCCGGGGGGCAGAGAGAGCGAGACCCAGAATCTGAAGCAGGCTCCAGGCTCTGAGCTGTCAGCACAGAGCCTGATGCGGGACTCGAACCCACAAATTGTGAGATCGTGACCTGAGCCAAAGTTGGATGCTTAATCGACTGAGCCACCCAGGTGCCCCGTGTTAATTTTTTTTTTTAATTTTTTTTTTCAATGTTTATTTTTGGGACAGAGAGAGACAGAGCATGAATGGGGGAGGGGCAGAGAGAGAGGGAGACACAGAATCGGAAACAGGCTCCAGGCTCTGAGCCATCAGCCCAGAGCCCGACGCGGGGCTCGAACTCACAGACCGTGAGATCGTGACCTGGCTGAAGTCGGACGCTTAACCGACTGCGCCACCCAGGCACCCCAATTTTTTTTTTTTTAATGTATCTGTACGTACACCAGTGCTTCAACTAGATTGAGAGGAGAAACCCTGTTCTGTGTATCTTCAAACTTTATCAACCTTTTTCTATCCATGCCGCTTAGCAGAAGGTGCCTGATAGTAGAGGTTTAATGTGCATTACAGATAATGACTTCTTAGGGGTTGCCAAGTCCGTTTGTTTCCTCCATACATTAAAACCCAACTTTTAAAGTTAGATCGAACAACTACAGCAAAGCTCACCCTGTCAGAGACACTCTGTGTTTATAAGCAGCGTGAATTTAAGGAATTAGAAATCCCACTGTGTGACATATGAAGAGGCAAACTACAGCTACATAAGGATGTGCTGGTTGAAAGAAGTGCTTGGTTGTGAGGTTGTTTTTGCTGCTGCTCTTTGTGAGAGTACGTGTGCCTGGCGCCCCCACATCGTCAACAGTGTGCTCATTTGAAAACTTGTTTTAATAGCCTCAGTTTCCTAAGTGTAATCACCAGGGTCGTTCACGGAGCTCTGTTCTGTGTCAGGAGAGAGAAACAGCGGCCTCTCCCAGCTGCGGGATGTGATCTTAACCAATTTAGCTGAACAGCTTCAAAACAACCGATTTGGCAGCGAGGAGGATGAGCATTACAGGTGACCCCAGTCACGCTGTTGACTGATAGCCTTCTCTTTGTGTTTTTCTCAGTAACTAATTTACATTAAATGCGTTTGAGCAACGTAAGTCTCCTATAATACCTAATATGATAATTAGCATGTTAAGTTGAAATCACGGATCAGTCAAAAGATCATATATCCCACACTTGCCCTAAAAGGCGATGATAGCATTTTTCAGTTTTCTCAGCAAAGTACTCAGTGGAAAGAATGGATGGAACTTATTTAAACATCTTGGTGAAGGGTGCCACCCAACTCAGTGGGCTACGGGAGAGGGCCAGGGTGAGGGTGTGGGTGAGAGCTGGGAAGGGGAGGAAGGTGTTGGTTTTCTTTGCCGTTTACAAAAGTACTCAGACTACGTCCTTGGTTACCATTTTGTTTCTTAAGTTGGATTTAGATAGTACACCTAGTTGTTAGCATTGTTGCTGAGGAAGATGATATACTTACAGAGCCAGTGAATTTTGTATCTCCTGTTTGTCATCTCATTCCAATTGTGTAAAGTTTATCCTTTTATTATTAAACCATACGTATCTTATTGTTACGTTTTTCCTGCATTTTAAAGACTAAATGATGAACTTTTACACTACATTCTGAAGATTGTTGTACGGGAATCCTGTATCTTAATCACCAAGTGCCAAACTGTCTCTAAAGAGGATTTTCAAAAACTCCTTTCGACTGTGCCTGTAAGTAAAAACGTGTTTAATGAAGCCAAATGGTATCAAGTGTCCCTGTTTTCATGTTACTGTATTGAGGTGTGTGTGTGTGTGTGCGTGCACGCGCGTGTGTATGTGTGTATACACACTGATGTAACGCACTCTCCAAGGCAGTCTTAATTGACGGAGTCAGTGGGTGACTGTGTTTGTCCTGGAAATACAGAACCAAACAAACCCACTTGGATCGCTTTCTCTAAGATTTTATTCCTCTTGCTTTTAAATGTCTTGATGCAGTGAATTGTTTGACTGAATTTGGATGTTTTCGTTTTGTTTACATAGTGAGGATTGTCCTCCCTGTTAATTGTTAATGTGGTATCGTTTTCTAAAACGTCACCGTTCCCCCAGAGACTAGAAAGAACCTAGAGATTCTTTCAAGGTTCTGGTGGACTCTCTTCTAGTGGAAATTCATGAGAGGGGGAGAGGGTGGGAGAAATTCAAGTAAGTATCTGAGTGACTAGTGCGAATTAGGCAGCAGAAGGCAGAAAGGTAAATGTGTCAAATGACATATCAAAAGTCATGTGGAAATAAGTCACCTGAGAAACTAACCTGGTCTGTTTTCTGTACTTTCTCTTCTGCTTCCCTTGTCCAACCCTTATAAACATGAGGATTACATGAAGCCTTTTTGCTGTAAGGTGTAGATCATTTAAATGCCCTTATTTGTATTAAAGGCTGCATCCTCCTGCCTGCGCTATCTGATGGCAGTTCAGAACCACCTTCTCAGTAACACTATTTTGATTAAACCCGATGAGAACGAGGACAGTGACAGCTCCTTGCAGGGAGAGACATTGAAGGTACAGGTAAACACCAAGCTTTCTTCTAACGATGCTTTCTACCCAGTGTGTAAAGTGCAGCTCAGCTGGCTAACTCTGTGTATTACGATGTCACATTTCACCATGTGGCTATATTGTTGTGAGAGGTAATATTAGGTCACTCATCTCATAGGTTCTTATGTCCTTGCACAGTGGTTACCATATTTGTGACACTCTCATAACGTGTCTCCATGTGCTCGTGTCACTCTTCTGTCACTCTTCTTGTGCCTTGTTTATTTCATCCTTTTTTAAAGGACTATAAAGTATTGCGCTTACAAGTGATCTCATACACATCTGAAATCTATGTATATAGAGATAAAATAATCTAACATTTGAAATAATTTTGACTTTGTGGCTGGTTTATTACATTCTCTCCATTCAAATAACTTAAAAAGGTGGTAATTTTCTCACAACCTTTATATTGAATAATTTCTAAACCTACGGTTCATTTCATTCTCTGTAATTATTTTTAAGTTAGCTTCTATGTAAACTCAATAATTGGTTCCCACATGGCAATTTATAGCAATCCAAAGATTTTTTTTTATAGCAGTGGTGGTTATAATTTTGACAGATGCTGGAGGCTGTTGCTTGCATTGTTGTTTAGAATTTCTTCTTTGTGAGAGAATTAGAGAAATCAATAAGAACTTGGTTCTTCTCTAAAGTGTTGACTGAAACACACTGAGAAATTTACCGAGGAAGCGATAGAGATAAAAGCCCTTTTCTTACTGCTTTATGCGCTGATACTCTAAAACCCATACACTTGTTAATTCTTGAGTTGATCTCACTGTATAATCAGTTTTTAAATAGGCAAAAATGCAGGAATTAATCATTTAAATTGCTGATACTGTTGATTAACTTCTCTTGCCTTAGTTTCTCAGTGAAAAAGGACACTAAGTCTCCCTTGGCAAGGTTCTGTGAGGCTCAGAGGAGGCATGCTAACCGCATGCACTGTGCGGCCACAGGGGGCGCCGTCAGCACATGGCAGCTGATGGGATCCGTGGGACTTAAACCATGGTTTAGCCTGTCAGTTCAGAATTCCTTTTCTCTTCATGATAAAAACATCTTAATCATTGCAAAGAAGGCCCCAGAAAAGTCCCAACAATGGAAGCAAGTGTTTTCTATTTGAAAGGCTAAATTCTGTAAATTCTTTAATTAATCCACGGAGAGAAATACTCTTGGTAAAGGCAGAAGAGGCAGAGTTATCCAGTATCTCTGGGAAAAATTAAAAACCCAGATTTCACCTAGAAGGTTAGGTTGGTTGTATTTTTTTCTTAACAGAAAATAATTGTAAGCTTAAACACTTGTGTGATTTTAACGAGGGCTTTTTAACACACAATTTAGGATTTGTATGCCCACGAACTCTCTAATAGTTAATTTTAATGTTCGATAGCCTGTAACTGCCTGCTACTTCAATTGAATTTTTAACTTGCCTGTTTTCAAGTGTGATGGTTTACAACATTAAGTAAAAAGGTCACTTGTACTGTTTCAGAATGTTGTGTTTTTGTCTCATTTTATTCACCGCCTCTACATGCGCCTTTTACTGTTCTGTTTTTCTCTTTAGCTGCCCTCATACCACCCAAGGCAATCTTCCACCTGGACAGTTTCTCGGCTGGCCACCGGGAGCTCTCTTGTGCTGGAGGGGATGGGAGAAATGCCTTTTCTCCCAGGGACTCGGTGTGCTCCCCGTGAAATACTGCGTATTTCTGTCAGCACTCCAGACCTTAGCCTCCCAAATCAAATTGCTACTTGCCATCCTAGCGGAACTTCCTGCTTTGGGCTGATTCTGGCCACCTCATTATTTCGTTTGGAAATGCATCATTAAATACATCGTTTCGTGTTGTCGTTGTGAGTGTATGTTCATCCCAAAGCCTAAAAAATAATATTGTGGTATTTTCTACCTAGGAGCTAAAGGTCAGTATTTTGGCTCTTGCCACCCAAATCCTGACTGGATGTGATGAAGTGTTGGAAATGCTACAGCAGGTCACAACTGCCCTCATAAATAGTGACCTAGCTGACCGTGAGCAGAGGTGAGGAAATGGGTCGTGAGCTGTGGCCTGCTGCCCTTCAGGAAGCAGAATTGCTTATGAAAGCAAAATCTCTTAGGACAGAACATCAAATGTTCATTTAATATAGAGGGATTTTTGTGAGACTAGGTTGAAACGGCAACTGTTGTCAATGCCAAGTGCAATCGAACTCTTTAATGGTGCTTTTAGGTGAGACTGGGCCGCCAGCCAGAGTCTGAGGGGGCGGCGAGGCTCTGGTGCACAGCCTCCCCGCCGACATTCGGGTCTGCCACCATCATCGCCCCCAAACTGGCCTTTCCTTCCGTCATCTAGCTCAGCAGCACATGCACTTGGTGTCCTCGTGATAAGTACTTTAGACAGGCAGGTGACTTAGTGACACAGAAGATTAACTGCCATGCGAAAGATGACACTGACATAATGTCTTAAAATTTTACTGTAATTTTACTTCTTCAAGTATAGGAGTGACCTCTGTAGAGGGTAATCTTCTCTCTCCCAGTAATAAAACTCTTTCTTAGCCCTCCCCATGAAAATTTCTGCTAATGGTTTGCCATTGCATCTGTGTGTGATAATGATTTTAATGTTAGAGATGCTGATCCAAAACAACCCGCAGTGTAATTTTTCCTCTGGTAACCCTGTCTGTCCCCATGTCCCTTGTTTCCTGCCCATTCCCAGAGAGTAGGTGGCCACATTGGAACTGGGGGCAGTATAACCCAGATAGGCATTGCACGAGGGCTTGTTAAGTCCTATGGGGCCCATCGCTGGGGCTTGTGGTACAGATTTGGCCTCCCCACCCCCTACCTGCCCCCCGCCTGCCAGGGAGGAGAGATAGTCTGAGAGCCTGGGAGATGGGAGGTCTGTTTCTTGTTCCAACCCCAGTACCCTAAGTAGCCTCAGAGAATTTCTATAACCCGCGTCTTTCTTTGGGTGAGTCACATCCCTTAATTCTTCGGGCAGAGGATTGGGATATCAAGAATGTGATTTTAGGTAATCATTTTACAATATATACATCTATCAAATAATTGTTATATACCTTAAATTTATACACTGTTCTGTCTCAGTAAAATGGGGGATGTGATTTTAAAGGCAAAAGAAAAATCTGTGTTGTAGCTAGTTACTTTCTCTCTGTCGGAGACTGCATACAGCACAGCGATCTAAAGTTCCAGTGCCAAGGGAACTCTACCTGTGGTAACTACCTAGAGTAGCCGTCTGCATGTTAGAACCCACTGATAAAGTGCTTCCGAGGTGCTATGATACGTACCGTGTCAACTCAGGTTGACGGTGACATCTCTTACTTGGTTTCTGTTCTCTCCCTCTCCCTCAGTGATAGAAGGTGGGAGATTTGTGGACCAAACTGCCGTAGCTAGAAGTGCTTAAGCAGTTCAAGGAAATGCAGTTTAAGAGAATTTGTCAGATAAAGAGGACGGTTGCTTCTTCACGTGATTAAGAATTGCTTAAGCCATTGTTTTCTTGAACTTTTTGTAGGTTAAAAGGCTTGGAACAAGTTACTAAGGCTACTATGCTTGGTCACCTTCTTCCAGTGTTACTGACTTCCCTGATGCATCCAAATTTACAGACTCTGACCATGGCCGATGCCCTGATGCCTCAGCTGGTCCAGTTGGTACTCTATACCAGTCAGGTACGGTCCCTGGTGTGCCAAAGTGAGCTGCTCTTCGGCCCGCCCACCTCTCACGTTGCGGCTGTGTGCATTTACTGAAGGCAGAGTAAACATGGCCATGTCTTTCAGAAGTCAAAGGAAATAATAGTGGAATGAAGGAAAACATAGTAAAAAAGAAACCGAAATATTAAGGGGAAACGTTTTGTTTGACTAAATTACTTACTGCGATCTTCTAGCAAGTGTTGATCGCTGGTCAGCTGTGAAAATGCTAATCTGCAATGCTACTGAGATCCTACCATTGTATTCAGCCTCCTGAGGCCTTGCGGGCTATCGGTGACTGATAGAAAGGATATGTGCCATGACAGCATTAAATAAAATGATGTTAAGTGGTCTAAGTCGCAAAGCATTTCTTCGTGAAGGAGGACAGACTAGGATTGTAAAAAGATGACTTAAGTGAGAATTCTAAATTTGGCTGTAGTACCATCCAGATAACTGACAGTAAGCACTTTAAGACATGATGATGGTTTTGTGTTTCAGACGGCTTTGCTGCTTAAAACCCAGTGTCCAGTTTTTGCCGAGGTGGGCTGTTCCCCATGTGGTGCATCAGACCAGAAGGGCAGGCTGTTCCCCGATCAGAGGTGAAAGATGCTGCTTCCTTGCTGGAACCCCTGCCTTGTTTTCTTCTGGTGAAAGCCTCGTTCTCCTTTTACGACACTGAATTCTAGCAAGGATTCTGTAACTGGGAAAAGAGACTTTAGGGTCACGTTTTCCAGATAAATCTAGAATTGCTTTATAGATTTATAGGATCAGGTGAGAATAAATTCCCCACAGATCAAGAGATTAAAGATTGACAGGCTCTCCTATACCAACGATGGCGATGTAAAATACTATGACTTTGGCAAATAGGTTGACAGTTTCTTAAAAAGTTAAGTGTATACCTGCCACATGACCTAGCTATTCCACCTCTAGGTATTTACACAAGAAAAAGGAAAGCATAGCTTCTTACAAAGACTTGTATATGAAGGTTCATAACAGCCTTACTTGGAGGAGCCCAACATAAGAAACAACCCTAATGTCTATCAACGGGGGAAGGGATAAATGAGTTGCAGAGTATTAGAATATTCCTACGACGGAATCCTACCCAGCAATAAAAATGAATGAATGGTTGATACATGCGACAATAGGAACGACTTTCAGAATCCTTACGCTGCGCAAAAGAAGCCAGATCCCCTCAAAAAGAACATGCTATATGATTCCCTAGATAGGAAACTATAGAAGATGTAAACTCATTTCTAGTGATAGAAAGCAAAAAATGATTGCCTGGATTACCAAGCGAAGGAAGGAAACTTCACTAGTATATACCTATGTCCAAACTTACCAAGTTGTACACTTTAAATATGGGCAGTTGATTACGTGTCAGTTACATCTATCAGAGCAGTCTTCAACAGTGCCAATTAGAAAGGGGCGACTTTGCAGGTTTCTCTAGAAGAGCGTGGTATCCAATGCAGCTTTGCGTAGTGACGCAACTTTGCCCCCATGCTGTCCAGGATCATCAGCCATAGCCACACGCTGTTCATGATGACTTGTGGTGTCACTCATGTGATCAAGAAACTGAATCTTAAATTGTCTTCAGTTCAGATTCTGTCTACCTGGCCACACTTGACTCCGTGGCCACCACATTGCTAGTGCAGAGCTGAAAGAAGAGTGTTAATTTCACAAAAGCCAAGTATAGGTCTTAGGAGTTTGTATACCACAGCCTTGGGCTGCAAAGCCCTCGAGGGTTTAATTACAGTAGACAAGAGGACTTTGAAGGCATTCTTCTTTAGCAAAAATTAAAGTAAAAAGTCAGGTAGACTCATGGAGTTTTCAACAATTGGCATTTAGATATCAACAAAAGGAACCTTGATAGGATACTAATCCTGTGGGATTTGGAAAGTGACCAATCTTAAGGGTCCTTTATAGCATCTTTTTTTTTGTTTGTTTTTGTTTTTGTTTTTGTTTTTAGTAACTTGAGAGTTGGTGAGGTCCTCTCCTGGGCTCTCCTCCTTGAAAAGAGAGAGGGGAAATGCAAGTATCTTCTCTAGCGACAACAACAAAAGAGCCTTAAACATAGGAGCTTTTACAGTGCTTCTGATCGCCACTGATACCTAGCATTTAAAAGCTCTGAGGTTGTCAGACTGCATGATGTGGAAAAGGAAAGCGACATTTCTTAACCTTTTGTATTTTACCATGTGTACCTCTTCTTTTTCCTCTCTCCACTGCTAAGCTAAATCACTTTCTCTGTGTCTGGTTTTAGGATGCTGGAAGAGAAGGAAGAGCCAGGCTTTCTCACTGGTTTAAAGATTCCTGCTCCATGGGCTGCTGGAAAGACTGTGGAAACCGTCCACCCTGTCAGAGACAACTATAAATTTAAAGAAACTGTCCACATCCCAGGAGCTCGCTGCTTGTACCTTAGATTTGATAGTAGATGTTCTTCACAGTATGACTATGACAAAGTAAGCAAGACTGGCTTAGTATTGGTTCCACCGCCAATAGGCTGGTTTCTTAGATGCTTCTTATTTTTCTTTGCTTCTGGTCACCATTCCCGACTTATTTCTGTCTGCAGATGTCTCTTTGGAAAACTTTAAGATACGCCTTGAAGGGTAGTGGTTGGGGAAATAACCAGCATGTCTGTGTTCGAAGAACAGCGTTTTCACAACATGTTGAAAGTGCACTTTCGTAAGCTTTTCAGAGTTTAGATCTGAGAGTCAAAGGAAGTTTTCCTTTGCCTATTGCTTACCTACTGCCTTCCTCCGGTGCTCGGAATTCCTGTGGACAGGTGATTTGCATTCATCTAGAAAGATCGTACTGCCCGATTCTGGGGCTTCTCACGTATTCTTTGGGAGAAGATGGACTTTTAGAAGAGTTTCAGATGTGCTAGGATCTGTTTTCTTTTTATTATTTGTTCTTTGTTGTCAGTACCTCAGGGCCCACGTAGATTTTGAGGAAGAGTAGTTTCTGACATGTAGTGGCTTGATAATTTTAAGTGGAAGGAAACATTTGAGGGGTTGAAGTGTTTTCTTCTGTTTATGTTGTTGTGTTGCAAACCATCATGTTGAACTTCTGAGGAAAGAGGAATGTGACTGTGACGTGTAACCTCCTAAAAGAACAACTGCAGGATTATCTACTAGCTTTGTACATACGCAGGACTATTTTTATGTAGTTGTATGTAGATTGTTAGCTCCTCTGTAGAGTGTTAGGGTGAAAGGTCTTAAATCCTTCCAGGGGAGATTTTTAGGTTAAATAATAAAGGACTTCTTAACTGTATGTATTCTGAGGTGGTGAAACCCATCACTGAGCAAATGATAGTGTCCCCTTCCCCCTTATCTTTTAGGATAGTGAAAACTGTCAGGTGTCGGGAGGGGCTTAAGATTCGTCTCCAAAACTCAGGTTAGCTAGAAGCAGGAGAATTTAGAAAATGGTCTTTCATGGGCCTTTCAAAAAAGAAACGTCTTGCCATCAGCCTGCCCCACTTCATGGCTCCTGACATCAGCTACCCCCATTTCCTAGATTCAGCTGATAGGACTATTGAAAATAGAAATGGAGAGGTTGCCGTATCAGTCGGTGTCATTTTGTTTCTCCTTTAAAACCAGTGATTTGCATCCTCCGACCTACGCTAACCAACACCTGCGGTAGACGTTTAGCGTTAAATGTTGAGGCACAGGGAGGCTTCCTACACAGATAAAAGGAACATTTACTTTTCCAGTGGTCCCTGGTTGGTATCTGCAAAAGGTCCAAAAGGGTAAGAAAGCACAACATGATAAGTGTCAGGGGCTAAAAATGTAGCCTCTAGATCCAAACCGAGCTCTCCTGTGCAGTCAGAGGTGGTCAGAGTGCACATGAGAAGACAGGAGTTGGAGTTTACGGAAACCAGAGCTTCATTCTTCCCGCGGAAGTATTTGAATGCCAAGGGACCTCTAAATATCTCTCCTGCGTATTAGAAAGTTGGTTAATTGCATATACATGAATAACCTTTATTGCGGAAAAGTACTGATCCATGAAAACTGACCCAAGAAGCAGCAGCACCTTTTCTGGCCTAAATTTATGTCATTTTCTTTTTACCCCATTAAGCAACATTCAAAGGATGTATGGCTTATTTTCAATTTGTTGCGTTTTTAAAAATCCTCATTCATTGAGTTTTTGGGTTTTGTGTTGTTTTTTGTTTTTTTGCCTTTATTTTGTTGTGTTAGATATCACCGTCTTTCCATCTGTATTTGCTCACGTTATTAATTTGGGGGAGGACTTCAGGGGGCAAACTGTACCAGTTATTAATGAGTTATACGTCATTACTTAGCATTACAATAACTACTTAACAATATGTGTAATAGCTGAGTAGACCTATGTTAATGTGAGGTCCCCAGGCAGTTAAATTGTGGTAATACCTGTTGCATCCAAACTAGTATCAGTTATACCTTAAAAAATCAGGGAATATTCTACTGTAATGACATCAGTGCCTGGTTATGAATGTATTTTTAAACAAACATTTTTTTGCAGCCTTTTTATTTGTAGATGTTGTTTTTGTTTTTCTTTTACAGTCTAACAGTATATTTTCTGTTTTGAAGTTGGTGATATATGCGGGGCCTAACACAAACAGTAGGAAGGTTGCTGAGTATGGAGGCAACACACTGGGATATGGCAGCCGTAGTGTCTTAGGAACTGGCTGGCCCAAAGACTTGGTGAAGGTATGGTATCCAGTCAGATTCACTTCCTCGAAAAGAAAACTGAACTCCCGTTCCTTCCAGGCCCGAGTATTAACTCTAATTCCAGGGAAAAAAAAAAAAAAAAAAAGTCTGTGGGTGCTTTTGTTGAGCTGGAGCCATCTTGCCGGGTCTGTGAACTCACTGCCTCATTCAGAATGACCCTCCTTGTAGGGCATTGTCAGACCCCTGTCGGCTCCAGAACTGGCATCCGTTCCCCAGGTTACTCCAGGGACTGAGGTGCCCACGGCATTTCCTTCCCTGTCCATTAGATGAAGGCCTGCTAGTTCTTTCAGCTTGCTTGTCTGCACTCTCCCGTGATGGGCACCCTAGGTTAAAAGTGTGGAATCCGTGTTTTCGAATGAATTTGGGCCTCTGGAGCAACAGTAATGATCCTTCTCAGATGGATGAGATTCCAGTCATGCTTTGTAATCTGGGCCCTGGAACTACAACAGATCTACCTAGGCTATGAATATGAACTGAAATGCCCACTAAACCCTGAAAACCTCTCCAAAGTCTGTTCTGGAAGCTTGTATCTCGTGTGCGTTACCTACCCTCTTTAATTCAGCAGTAGAGAGCAAGTTATGTCCAGGGGTGTAGTTTGGATGCATCCAAATCTGCATCGGCATTGGCACGACACTTTTAATCGTTCTCTCATTTCCTATGTTTTGTTCATTACTCGTGGTGTTGGTTCCGCAATACAGAGCAAGGTCTCGCAGCACTCTGTTCTGCAAGATCCAGGCCGTTTGCCTGCCTTCCCGGCACAAGTGAGGTGGTGGGGAGGGGGAGGGCAGAAAGAATAGAAGTCTGAGGAATCAATTGAAATTATGGTCAAGATTTAATCTATACTCCGATCCTGCTATTGGGTGATCGTGGCCCGTTTCCCAGATGCCTCGTCCCCAGACTACCTGGTCAGGAGAGACCCCCGGAAGGCTGGTGTCCAGAGGAGAGAGGGGATGGAGTTTGAGTCAAACATGCGATTGAGAAAAGGAGTGAATTATTGCTGTGGCCCTTTTGAAAGTAAATCTCTGAAATTCATTGCTCTCTTGAAAATCATGTGTCTTTTTTTTTAAAGTGTATTTTCCCCCCCTTAAATTTTAAGGTGGAAGGAGATACAGTCACCTTCTCCTTTGAAATGAGAAGTGGCCGTGAACACAACACTCCCGATAAAGCTATGTGGGGCTTTGCTTGCACAGTTCGCGCTCAGGTACTGGAACCTAACCACCGCTGTGGGCATAATGTACTTTCTCCTGTGTGCCTTGCTTACAGACATCATATTTGCCCCGGAGACTGGGCAAAATATGAGCTACTGTTTCATCCATCTCTTCCATTTGGCAGTAGTAGACTACTTTCATAAGTAGTAGTTTTGTGGACTGAAACTAGCTGTGACCTAAAATCCGTTTAGCGGCACAGAAAGAACCCACTGCTAGGGGCTCCATCTTCAAAGCCTGGAGAGGTAATCTGCCTCTAGCATCTTTCCATAGGTGAAGAAGACTCGAACACCTAACAGAAATAAGCATTGGGAATTCCGGGTTTTTAGAGTGGTAGGATCAGATTTTCATTCTATTCTCAAAGGCTCCGTCTCTGCTTAATTGGGTATGTTATACTCTGTATATGGTCCATTGAAACCCTGTATGCAGGTTCAGTCTACTCCTTTTAGTGCCAAATAGTTACTTCCCTCCCCGTGAATCTATGTGAATTCTTTTCCCAGCCGGAAAAAAAATGAGAGAGTGGTAGGAGTTCTACTAGCCCCTTGAGTTGCTTGATTTGTAAAACCTATTTTAGACTTGGAGATTGCTTAAGTTTCACCAAGCTAACACACTCTAGAGCGGAAGTACCTGCTAGAATGGAAGCTCCGTGAGGGCAGGAATCTTTGTTCTCTGCTGTATTGCAAGGGCCTAGAACAATGACTGGTACACAGTAGGTACTCAAATATTTGTTGAATGAACTCAGTATGAGAACTGACAACGTCTTGGTTCGAGCACAGGATGGAAGTGACCCAACGAAGTAGTGATTTATACCTGGATAGGCACAGCAGAGAGGAATCGACCCAAAGAATCTTGCACGTGATTTGTGCTCTCTCTAATATGGAGTCTTATCAGCTCTTCTCTCTCCAGAATTGTGTTCAGCCTTCACTCTGTGCCACCATCTTTCTGCTCATGGTGTTGGGTGCTGTGCCTGTGTCCCATAGCCATAATACTCGACGCTGCTCTGTGAGCCCCTGTGGTTGGGGACCCGTGCAGCGCGGTGCACACGGGTCGAAGTGCTCCACCGTGCACGCTGACCAGTGTGGTCTGCCCCTGTCTGCGTTGCAGGAGTCGTCGGAGGATGTGTCCGGAGGCCTGCCCTTTCTGGTAGACCTGGCTCTAGGTCTGTCCGTGTTAGCCTGCTCCATGTTGAGAATCCTGTACAATGGACCAGAAATCACCAAAGAAGAAGAAGCCTGTCAGGAACTATTGCGGTCCAAACTTTTACAAAGGTAAAAGGCTCAGATAGGGCTAGTTTTGCTCACAAAGGCGCAAGAACTTCATATGGCAAACTACTTTGAGTCCGTTTCCCAGCTCATTGTGCATATTGCCTGACAATCCCGAGGGTGTCACTGTCGTTAAGAAAGAAGATGAAAAGTGCCTTTTGGCCCTTACTTTACTAAATTTGAAATTACAGCCTTGAACTGCAGAAGCTTTTCTCCAACCCAAATAGTGCATAATTAAATTAAAGGATCCCCTAAAGGATGAGTAGATGAGTGATAAAGCAAACATATCAAAATGTTTATTCTAGAATCTAGGCGGCGGGTATATGGGTGTTAACCTTGGAATGCTTTCAACTTTGCTATATATACTTAAAAGTTTTCATAATAAAATGTTGGGGAGAAGGTAAATTCCCAAAGATGTGATTTCATATAATGCTCATTTTCCTTAGCTTCTGGGGAAGGCTTGGTGAATACCTAACATATAATGTGATCCTTCAGATGTTTGGTATATCTGCAAACTTTAAGTAGCTCTTTTCAGATGGAAGAGGAGTGAAGATCCTCTTTCCTGTCTGTTCAGGTGCCAGTGGCAGGTGGAGGCCAATGGCGTGATCTCGCCTGCCCTTACTCCAAGCCCATCTCCACTGCCACTGACCATCGAAGAAGACAGAGAATTCACCTACCCCTCTGACGTCCTCGTGCCTCCTGTTGGAAACTACTTTGACCTGCCCCGGATCAGGCTGCCTCCAGGAATCATGATAAAGCTCAGGGAAATTTCTGGGCGTGCTAGACCTCAATTCAGACCAAGTATAAAGTATGTTGCTAAACGGTGCTCTGCTTTTCCCATTGGAAAAAAAAAAAAACTGTTTAGACAATGGAAGGTGGGGGGGGGTGGTAAATTTTTTATAGTCTAGCAAGTGAGCCTTTAATTGTGCATTTACTTATGAATGCTAACCAGATACTCTGGGGAGTACCCCCAGGTGGTATTCCAGGTCCTCAGGTCTCAAGGTGTGGGCCTCCAGCTAACACTGTCTGAGCGCTTGTTAGTTCTGGGGCCCCATCTCATACCTAGTGGATCAGAACCTCTGAGGATGAGGCCCGGTAATCGATGTTTTGACCAGTTTTCCATAAGATTCTGAGGCATGAGAAGGTTTGACAAGTTCTAGGTTTTTCCATGGTGGTTTGACCGTCTACTCCTAGTCCTCAACTTGGGTTTCCTTAGTCCAGAGAGATGGTGAGGGGTCTTTGATGTAGAACATGAAGTTGTGCAGTTGCAAACGTCTTTGTAGTATTCTTGCTTCAAGTCTGGTGGCCTCTGCCCTGTCTTCTGAGACACGATTGCCCATTTCAGGGAGAAAGATTTTAAGAATAGTTGAAATTTAAAAAGAAAGAGACAGAAGTACCATTCATTTTCAGCCCAGCATCCAAATATCACAAGCTGTAATGGTGCATAAATGGTGCTAAAGATCTTTTTTTTTTTTTTTTTTAAATCCTTAGACCTATTCCAGCTTTAATACGATTCTGACACAAAATATACAAATTATAGAAAATGAAGTCTCTTTAATTTTGATTTTCATTTTATCAGCTGAAGTCAGTTTTGTCAGTTAAACAGTAAATTACTGCCAACTTGATATGAAAGCCATCATAATGTCGTGCCTCTTTATTGTAATAAAGAAGGTGTGGTTTAATGTATTTAATATATTTAAATCAAAGCCTACACCCTCCAACCGATTGAATATGGGATTGGTAATTTGAGAGCATGGCATATACTTGACTCATTTCCTTCGTAATCACAGAGAAGTAATTCAGCCCGATGTGATGGAGGAAATGGTGGTCTCCTGTGTTATTAAGCACTTGAATTTGGTCGATGCACTGCAGTCCCTAATAAATTTCCAGTATCAAGAAGAACATGCTGAGGAATATGACTTACTGTGTAAAATTATGGGAGAGACCTTCAAGAAACTCAATGCCATGGAGAGACAGCTGCAGGTAAGTGAAGGCGAAAGCACTTAGATTTCTCCTACAACTGTTGGAAATAATTTCTTTCCTGGAAATGTAATGAAGTTTTTAAAAAAAATTGTTCTTAATGTTTGTTTATTTTTGAGAGAGAGAGAGAATCCAAAGCAGGCTTGGAGCTGTCAACACGGAACCTGAAACAGAGCTTGAGCTCAGGAGCCATGAGATTGTGACTGGAGCCAAAGTCAGACGCTTAAGTGACTGAGCCACCCAGGTGCCCCTGTAATGAAGTTCTAAAAGGGACCTGAGGGGCATGTGGGTGGCTCCATTGGTTAAGCACCTGATTCTTATTCTCCCTCTCAGGTCTTGATCTCAGGACTGTGAGTTGAGGCCCCACATTGGGCTCCATGCTGGGCATAAAGCCTACATTAAAAAAAAAAAAAAAAAAAAAAAAAAAAAAAAAAAAAAAAAAAAAAAAAAAGGGGCGCCTGGGTGGCGCAGTTGGTTAAGCGTCCGACTTCAGCTCAGGTCACGATCTCGCGGTCCATGAGTTCGAGCCCCGCGTCAGGCTCTGGGCTGATGGCTCAGAGCCTGGAGCCTGTTTCTGATTCTGTGTCTCCCTCTCTCTCTACCCCTCCCCCGTTCATGCTCTCTCTCTGTCCCAAAAATAAATAAACGTTAAAAAAAAAAAAAAGTGACCTGAAGTTTTGAAACATTAGGACTAAGATTTCCAAATTTGCAGATAGCACTGGTTTTTGTTTTGTACCTATTCTCGCGTTGTTTTATTTTTTAATGTACCTATTAGAGTGTTGCAGAATTGGAACAGAAATGGCAAAGTGAGGTTGATGACGCCATGCAGGGGAAGCTGGAGAACAACATGCCCTTCTTCTATGATTACCATTTTAATGAGGTGAGCAAGTTGTAGGCTTGATCACTGGAGCTTTGGTATTTACAGTGCAAAGGTATATATCATGTATGTGTAGAGACCAAATAATGATTCTTGTTAAGATGTCGCACACACCAAAATGTATCCATTCTTGACAGAGATTAAATAAGATTGATTAGATCAACATATCAATGATACAAATAATAAATTATTAGGCTGTTCTTAACTGATTAATAGTTTTATCAGGAAGTTACCAGCATTGTCAAATTTTGCTTCTAAGCCTTCAAAAACAAAAGGCAGTTATAGGTACTGGAGAAGTCCCCAGAAAGTAGTCAATGCCATCTGTAATCATTAAAATATCAAATAATTACTTACAAATGTGCTCTGGCGTACAAATATGGACCAGAGGTGGTGGGTTCCCCCCCCCCCCGAAATTCTCTGTTCCTTTTAACATGAACGGTAAAACTCAGTTTTTGCAGATCCTGCCTACCATCTTTTCTTGATTTTTCCTTCTTTAGAACAAAATGAAAGAACTAGAACTTCTGTGTTCAATGAAGGAAGTCTCCTTTGATGGAAATGATCTTGAAAACATGGTCCTATCACTGAGGTTAGTGATGTTAATAACTACACAAAGCTAATTTACTACTGTGATGCTTACACTGTGATGACGTATACTCTTAGGAGATACTTTTTAAAAATCTGACGCATTCACTGAATATTTGAGTTGGAACTCAGTTTGTAAACATGGAAATTTTTAGCTTAGCCTTCAGAAGTCAGCATAGGTGCATCTGAAACTGGGCAAAGGGAGCTGACACTGGTCCGTTCACAAGGCTGCTCCTTTCTGATAGGGAAGGGGAGCGATGTTTCTCAGCTTTCTTTGGCTTGGTCTCCCCCTATCTTCTCGTATCCTTATAATTACGAAACTTGGGTTTCGGTGAAGCTGAGAACGACTAAATGCACATTAGCCTTTCCTTCCAGGGAGAAGTTCCTACAAGAAGTGAATTCTCTTACTCAGAAACCGTCGCACCCACTGGCTAAAACGAAGACGTTAGTCAAGAGTTTGATGAACCGAGCCGAGCTGCTGTTACATGTCACCATTGCGGCCCAGTCCGGCCTCACAAGAAGCATCTCGGGGACCCCTGCAGAAACTCCGGGTACAAAGCCAGCCCTGCACGGGCTCTCTGCACTAGCCCGTTTGTAGAAAATACACACCAGCTCCTTAAAGAGAAATCACTCTTGTGTTCTCATAGGAAGGAGAAAAAGAAATTTCAGCATTTTTTTATTCTACCTTTTACTTTCTCATCGAATTCATGTGGTGGCTTGTGAGTCCGTCTGAGCGTCAGGTGTGCCTCCTCACCTGCCTTACTCGGTGTTTCTTGGGAGCATCTTGGGAGCCCAGTAACGTGGATTTTTAGTTTTGGGCTTGTCGCTTTCATAGTAATGTGCATAATTAGTGAACATTATGAATCTTGTAATGCATCACATTTTCCTCTTAAAGCCGAGTTTATATTGCACATTTAGTCATTATGTGGAACCTTCTAACATCAGTTTCACTATTTTTTTTTCCTGGTCACGTTTTAATTGTTAGCCTGAAAGGACGTTCCTCAGGAAAATCAATGAGTCTTCTTTCTTAAGCCTGATCCCCAACACTGGGCATAGCCTATAATGACCAGTGTTACTACTTCCTTTTTTTTTTTTTTTTTTTTTTTTTTTTTTTTTTTTTTAAATGTTTATTTTTGAGAGAGACAGAGACAGAATGTGAGTGGGTTAGGGACAGAGAGAGAGGGAGGCACAGAATCCGAAGTAGGCGCCAGGCTCCGAGCTGTCAGCACAGAGCCCGATGTGGGGCCCGAACCCATGAGCTGTGAGATCATGACCTGAGCCACAGTCGGACGCTCAACCGACTGAGCCACCCAGGCACCCCAACAAGTGTTATTTCTTACCTTGAGAGAGAGGATGAATAAATAGGAGACTCTGTTATCTAACCCGATGGACCCTGCCAAGCAAGCAAACTGTTTTCATCCCAGCTGATGGGCCCAGGGCTCCCCTCGCATGGGAGAGAAGTCCAGGGTGACTCAGGTTTCTGACCCCCTAGTGAAAGGGTACTGTTGGCTGAGAACATCCGGGGACATGTACCAGGGTGTGCAGTGTGATCACATACTGAGACGGTGTGCTGACCACGTCCTTAGTCACACTGAGCTTTGGTTAATTCAAGGTCCTATAGAAAGACTTAACCACCCAGTAAGGCTGATGATGCTTTTCAAGAGGTTCTTTCCATCAGAGATCATGAACCAATAGTTTGCTGAGCAATAACATCTTCAAAAACTATTTTTTAAGACTGAAGCTGTCTAACCATTCTTTTTTAAATAATTTTTTAATGTTTTATTTATTTGGGGGGGGGTGGAGAGGGAGAGAGAATGAGTGGGGGAAGGGCAGAGAGAGAGGGAGACAGAATCTGCATCAGGCTCCAGGCTCTGGACTGTCAGCACAGAGCCTGAGATGGGGCTCAAACTCATAAACCATGAGATCATGACCTGAGCCGAAGTCAGACACTTACCCGACTGAGCCATCCAGGTGCTTGTAACCATTCTTAAGACCAATTCAAAATAACCTTGACTTTTTTTTTTTTTCTTAGATGATCTTAATATGTAGTTTTGTCATCTTCCATTAAATATTCTTTTATAATACAACTAGTTTCCTGGATAGCGTTAAGGAGTGTATTTTAGAGGAAGGGCCAGTTGGATTCTAGCTCAAGTGTGATGTTTACTCGCGCCAACTATGATCAAAGCCAAGGTACTACCAGATGTCAGTAAATCAACTGAATAAATCTGGGATTAAAGGGGGAACAAAGGCTGTCTCTGAAAAAAAAAAAAAAAACAGTATTTGGATTTATTTCAGTTAAGAAATTTTTTATTCTAGAAATTACTGTCTCTGTCCTCTCTGCCTTTTTAGAACGCTTATATGAAGGTGAACATTGAGAGTTTATGAAATTAAATGAATCTTTCAGCCTTTTTTTGAAACCCAATTTAATAAGAAAGATTCTAGTTTTTCACACTAAAATGCCTTTTTAACCCTAATATCTTGATTTTAAAGAATGGGCCTAAAAGTCACCAGTGTGCAATGCTGGCTGGATTAGAACCTCCTAGAGAATCCTGAAGTCTCCTAGAAAGCAAAGAGTATCTTTCTTAGACTGATAGCGTAGCTGTTGTTGCTGTCCTTACAAATCGGATAGCAGATACGCCAACCTTTTTATTGCTTTCTGTTTCAGCTTGTAAATCAGCTTCAGAAACAAAGGTGATATCTCATGCTGTGCGACAGCCTGTTTTTCTTCGCAGCATGTCGGCTCCTTCTGACCTGGAAATGATTGGTAATGAAGATTTGGAATTTACTCGAGCAAATCAGAGGTAAATGACTAATGGCCAAGGTTGGATTCCCACGTGAGCTGAAGACAGTCATCAAAACCCGCTCCCTGAATTTCTGGTTTTGTGATCTAGCGCTATTTTGCTTTCCCATAGGCGGCGCCATGTGACCAGCCACCGCAGCAGCTCCTTCACACTCCTGCAGTCACTGGCCATCGAGGACAGCAGGGACAAGCCCACCTACAGTGTCCTGCTGGGGCAGCTGTTTGCTTTCATCGGCACCAACCCTGACCAAGCTGTATGTCCATTTTGCTGAATACAGAGGAATACCACCCAATGGCATGGGGGCCTGTGGCAGTCAGCAAGAGTCAGGTGGACTTCCTTCTCATGCGTTTCAGGTGTCCAGCAGCAGCTTTCTTTTGGCTGCACAGACGAGGTGGCGGAGGGGAAATACTCGCAAGCAGGCCCTAGTGCACATGCGGGAATTGCTGACGGCTGCTGTGCGCGTCGGGGGTGTGACGCACCTCGTGGGTCCAGTGACGATGGTCCTTCAGGGAGGACCCAGGTCAGTTGTTTCTATTAGTTCATACCATTCTGTCTGGAGTGTGCAAGAGGCATTCCAAAGATTATTCATGAGGCCATATTTTAGACGGGTATTTGCGAACGTTTTCCCCTAAAACAATAGCTTTATTTTTATTTTTGTAAAAGCATTTCACAATTTTTTTTAACAATTGCAGCATGTGTAACAAAGTAAAAGTCCCTTTATTCCTCCTCTTCTAAATTCCACCCTGTTAACTAAGAGCTTGTTGTATCAACTACACACACATAAATGGCTGTTTCTCCTTGTACACAGAAGTATGTATGTGTGTGATTTTTTTCCCCTTAATTCAGATTATATTATACTACAATAGAACACTGCCATGAGAATTGTTTTGCTCATATATGTTGGATATATCTCTTCTCATGTCATTACTTCAAGATCTGCTTTATAGTTAAAAAAAATTTTTTTAATGTTTATTTTTTAAGGGGGGGGAGGGGCAGAGAATGGGAGGCACAGAATCCGCATCAGGCTCCAGGCTCCCAGCCGTCAACACAGAGCCTGACACGGGGCTCGAGCTCACGAACTGTGAGATCATGACCTGAGACAAAGTCCGATGCTTAACCAACTGAGCCACCCAGGCGCCCAACTTTATAGTTTCTTTTTAAAGTTTGTTTTCAGAGAGAGAAAGCACCTGCATGAGTGGGGAGGGGCAGAGAGAGAGAGAGAATCCCAAGAAGACTGCACTGTCAGCGCAGAGCCCAACATGGGGCTCGATCCCACAGACCGTGAGATGCATGACCTGAGCCAAAATCCAGAGTCAGATGCTTAACTGGCTGAGCCACCCAGGCGCCCCTGCTTTATCATTTTTTTTTTTTTAATTTTTTTTTTCAACATTTATTTATTCTTGGGACAGAGACAGAGCATGAGCGGAGGGGAGAGGGCAGAGAGAACACAGAATGGAAACAGGCTCCAGGCTCTGAGCCATCAGCCCAGAGGCCCGCAGCTCGAACTCCGCAGGCGTGAGATCGTGACCTGGCTGAAGATCGGGGCACTAACCAGCCTAAGCCCAGAAGCGCCCCTGCTTTATCATTTTAAAAATTTTTTTTTTTCAACGTTTATTTATTTTTGGGACAGAGAGAGACAGAGCATGAACGGGGGAGGGGCAGAGAGAGGGAGACACAGAATCGGAAACAGGCTCCAGGCTCGGACCAGCACAACCCGACAGCGGAACTCAGACTCACCAGCGGACTCCAGAGAGGTCTGTGACCTGGCTGAAGTCGGACGCTTAACCGACTGCGCCACCCAGGCACCCCTATCATTTTTAAGAACTTCATGGACCTCTGTTATATGGATGGCTCTGTCTTATTTAACTCATCCCCTTCTGGTGGACACATGGTTCATTTTCTCTTACTCTCCTTCATTTTTTCTGTTTTATTTTTGCATTAATAGCAGTGATGTAGTAACATTCTTACACCTATATTTTTGTGTACTTTTGTGCTTATTTTACTGGATCAATTTCTTTTAAAATTTGTTTTTTAATGTTTATTTTTGAGAGAGCACGTGCCAATGGGGGAAGGGTAGAGAGCGGGAGACACAGTATCCGAAGCAGACTCCAGGCTCTGAGTTGTCAGCACAGAGCCCGATGCAGGGCTCGATGTCACAAACCTCGAGATCGTGACCTGAGCCACCCAGGCGCCCCTTGGCGAAATTAATTTCTAAAAACCTAGTCGTAGATAAGAACTTTGAAGAACATTTTGTATTTGTGAGGAGTTTTTCTATACTGTTCCCTACTGGGCTTCAAAGATCTTCAGATAGAAATAGAAAAGGCATTTGTCTACAGGTCCTAGAGTAGATGCTTGGGGCTGCTTGTGTCTCCTGACAGCTCTTTGAGGAGTTCTGGCCAATAAGCAGGGGTCAGTGGCTGGAGCAAAATGTGTTAACTAGCAAGAGCTCGCATGAATATCTTGAGAAATTTCTGTGTCCATCAGGAGAGGCCAAGTTATTCTTTGGAAGCAAAACCCTCCCAAATCTCCGTGTTTACAAAACAAAACTTCAGTGCTTGCTCATGTCCAGCGCAGGTGCGCCCCAGCCCGTGATACTCCCAGGAGCCCAGTAGAGGAGGCGACCGCTGTCTCAAAAGCTGTCCGTCCCCTTGTCAGAGCTCTGGCTTATTGGCCAGGCTGGTCACATGCTCATCCAACCAAAGGGAAGCCACAAGGCACAGTGAGTAGCACTGGCTACCACAGCTTACTTCCAGAATAATTTTTCTTATCCATTTTTTTTTTAACATTTATTTATTTTTGAGACAGAGACAGAGCATGAATGGGGGAGGGTCAGAGAGGGAGACACAGAATCTGAAACAGGCTCCAGGCTCTGAGCCGTCAGCACAGAACCCGACCTGGGGCTCGAACCCACGGACCGCGAGATCATGACCTGAGCCCAAGTCGGACGCTTCACCGACTGAGCCACCCTGGCGCCCCATCCAGAATAATTGCTCCACAACCCTGGCAGCATTATTCCTTTTTCCGTCAATGGTTAATGTCATAGATCAAACATTTGAAAAAATGCAGAAAATCCCAAAGTGTAAAGTAGAAAATCACCTGTAAATCCAGCATCTCAAGATAAAACCTGTTAACACTCTAGTGTTTTTGTTCTGTCTTTATTCTAACCATAGATCCCTCCTGTATGTCTCTAGTGGCTGTGTAGCCACTGCATCATATTCCCAAACCTTTATTTATGGCTCAATCCCTACTTTTCAACCTTAGGTTTTATTTATTTTTGTTATTATAAACAGTATTCTATGGCCTATCTTTGTAGATGAATCCGGATAGTTCCAGTTTTCAACTAATATTAATTGCTGTAGAATCACCCCCAGGTTGTGTTTTTACACTGGGAAAGTCTTAGTTCATATCAATTGGATTCTCATACTCTGCTAATAATCACAGTGTGAACTTGACAAGGACACTTAGCTAATCTATTTGGGCCTTGATTTTCTCATGAGTACAATTACGTTTACAGAATTCAGTGCTGCATAGGATATTGCAGGCCTGTTTCAAATGGTTTCATTATTAAATACGTTTGGGAAATGTTGGGTGCCATTCTCTTGCTCTTAGAGTTATTGTGGACCTTAACCTTGTAAGGCTCCGAGTAGTCCTACAGTAGAGAACCCTGCTTGACTTGACTTAGCCTAGGATTCCCCAGACTTCTCTAGAGCATGGGCATTGTGTTTGAGGCAACTTAAGAAATGCTGCCTAACAGTCTTCTGTGGTCCTGCAGTCTGGGAAACACTGGTGATCTCTAACATCCCTTCAGTTCGGGATTCATCTAGACACTCTTGGATTTCTCAGAACGTGCCTGCTCTTATGTTCACGGTCACTTGCCATGGCTCAGGAAGCCTGCACTTTGGTTCTGTTTCCTAGAATTGAAGAATTAACCTGTGGTGGGATGGTCGAGCAGGTCCAGGAAGCCTTTGGCGAGACCATGACCTCTGTGGTTTCTCTGTGTGCTCGTTACCCTATCGCATGTGCAAATAGCATCGGACTCTTGTGTACCATACCTTACACCAGGTAAGCAAGGCTTTTTACTGTGGGTGAATTGCATTGCAGTGTAGTTGCTTAAATAAAAATACTTCTAAATTAAAAAATTCCCTGGGGTTTTTTTTGCTTTGGTTATCCAGTGACACTATCACTGTGATTAAATGAGTTTACCTCCTGACAGACACCTAGCGTTTCTATGTAAATTCCATATTATTGAATTCCTACATGATCAAAAGCGGCCAATAGGGATTATATCACATGGTCAAAAAGTAGAGGTTTGAAGGAAAGAAAAAGGCCTCTAGGAAATTATTTAATATGTTCAGCAAAAATTTTTTTGCAAATGCACATTTATTTTCTCAGTACCCTTATGAATCCCCTCGTGATAAAATATACAACTTTTTTTCTGTTATAGCAACCTTCTGTTTTTACTTGGCTGTTCTATATGAACAAGCCAGAACTTGAAATTTCTTATTTATGAAGGAAATCCTCACCGTAAAAAAGTACTTTTGTGTTTGGTTATATGTGGCGGTAAAGAATGATACTGGCATGTTTTCTGCCCCTTGATAACCAACCTGAGGGTTGGTCAGTTATGTTTATTTCATGTACCCTTCCTGCCTGGCCCAGGAGTGAAGAGAAGTGCCTGGTTCGCAGTGGCCTTGTGCAGCTCATGGACCGACTGTGTAGCTTGAGCAGTCAGACGGAGTCCGGCTCCAGTGAGAAACAAACCAAGAAACAGAAGGTAGCCACCATGGCCTGGGCAGCGTTCCAGGTGCTTGCCAACCGCTGCGTTGAGTGGGAAAAAGAAGAAGGTAAGAAGCAGGATCCTGTTTTAGAATTCATTGATTTCTTCTGTTGATGTGTTTATTTAATTATGGGTTTAATCAATTAATGATTTCAGGAGAGCCTCTTCGTCAGCATGGTTCTCTGGAAATTTATGGCTACACTGACGTTAAATAATAGCCTCGAGGGCATTGTGCTAAATGAAATAAGCCAGACACAGAAAGACAAGTACTGAATGATCTTGCTTATATGTGAAATCTAAAAAAGCCAAACTCCTGTGGGGCGCCTGGGTAGCTCAGTCGGTTGAGCATCTGACTTCAGCTCAGGTCATGATCTCACATTCTGTGAGTTCGAGCCCCATGTCGGGCTCTGTGCTGACAGCTCAGAGCCTGGAGACTGCTTCAGATTCTGTGTCTCCCTCTCTCTACACCTGCCTGACTTGCACTCTGTCTCTCTCTCTCTGTCTCTCCCTCTCTCTCTCTCTCTCAAAAATAATAAACATTAAAAAAAAATTTTTTAAGTAAAAAGAAAAAAGCCAAACTCCTAGAAACCAGGAGTAGAATGGTGGCTGCTAAGAATTTTAGGAGGAGGGGGAAATGGGAAGATGTAGGTCAGAGGGTCAAACTTCCAGTTACAAAGTGAATAAGTTCTACACACACACACAAACACACACACACAGGTAATTAGTGAGCTGGTGGATACATTAACTAGATTGCCGTAATCCTTTCAGAGTATATATACATATCTATATCTATAATCATGTAGACCTTCTAAAAAATGCACATTGAACCACCTAAATTGTATACGACTTGTATTTGTCAGTCATACCTCAGTAAAGCTGTGGCTGGGGAGGTGGGGGGATGGGGAATGATCATCACCTGAAAGAGTACAGTAAGCCAGGAAATTGAAAAGATACCTCATTTCCTTTTTGTCAATTCTGCTAACAGTCTCCAAATAAATACTCTTATGAAATGGTTTAGTTGCATTTTCAAGTGCCGTTTCCAAATTCTGTTTTTACCAATCCAGTTGAAAAAGTGAAGTTGAATATCCCATAATATCCCAGGCCTGCGTATACAGCTTGTTGACTTCTCTATTTATTAATTCACTGTGCACTTTATTGTCGAGAGCCAGGCGTAAGATGAACAAGACTTTGACTGCTCTTACTCTTAAGAAATAGGGTGCAGTGGGGGAAATGGACCAATGAACAAATGATTACAGTGTGATGAGTGCCATATTTTAGGTGCATGTGAAGTGCAGAGGGAGCACAGAAACTGTGTGTGTAGGCACAGGGATCCAAGACAGCATAGAAAGTTGAGGAAATGACAGCTAATTTGTGTGGCTTTTTACAAGAGCTGCTTGGTGCGGGGAAGGGCCTTTGGATCTACAGTGAAAATGGAAAGATCCCAAAAGGTGTTTAATTGTGTTTGAGGAGAGGTAGGGTGGGAGTTTTAAAAATCAACAGGTTTTCGGGGCACCTGGGTGGTTCAGTCAGTTAAGTGTCTGACTCTTGATCTCAGCTCAGGTCTTGATCTCAGGGTCGGGAGTTCAAGCCCCATGGTGGGCTCCACGCTGGGTGTGGAGCCTACTTAAAAAAAAACAAAAACAAAAACTTAGGGGCACCTGGGTGGCTCAGGCAGTTAAGCATCCAACTTCAGCTCAGGTCATGATCTCAAGGTTTGTGAGTTCAAGTCCCACATCGGGTTCTGTGCTGGCAGCTCAGAGCCTGGAGCCTGCTTCGGATTCTGTGTCTCCCTCTCTCTGTGTCCTTCCTCTGCTCACACTCTGTCTCTCAAAAATGAATGTTAAAAAATTTTTTCAAAACAAAATAAAAATCAACAGGTTTTCATCACAGGAAGAAAATGGTGATTCTTCCCTCTTAATCAAAATATGTTCCTTAGTTTTGTGTGAATTCTGTTCGGTTTATTTTGGTAGCTAATGGAATACTGAGTAGGTTAGAGAAGAGATTGGGCAAGAGGAGGGCTTTAATGCAGGGAGGCTGAGAGGGAGGATTCACCATGCCTGCAGGCTCGCCATGGCTTCCTCGGGTTCTCACCTTGCTTTTTCTTTTATTTTTTTTCCTTTTTCTTTTCTTTCTTTCTTTTTTTTTTTTTTTTTAAACTCTGTAGGTGGCTCCACAGAGGCCGTGCACTCAGGGCTGGCCCGTCAGGTGTCCAGCCTTCTCACCAACCATCTTGCCCGAGCAACTGAGTGCTGTGGCAACCAGGCCGCCGGGAACGATGCCCTCCAGGATGTCCTTAGTCTTCTCAATGATCTCTCAAGGTATGGAAGGCCCAGCCGGAGCTGTGGGAGAAAGTGGCTTTCCTCTTGAATGATTGGGGTTCCTTTGGGTGGTGATTGTCTTTGAAACATCTAAATTATGAGGCCATTCTGACCTGCTCCTGCTTCAAGAACAATAGAGAAGAAAAGCATTGGAAAAATAGTAGTTCCAAAGTGTGAGGGTTATTTAGGTGAATATCTACATTATAAAATGATATCATTTACTTTAATGTTTTGCTGGCAACAGCTGCTAGCCTTTCAAGTAGATAACAGTTGCATTAAGTAACCCCAAATCCTTACCCTCATTATATATAGCAAGGTAAAGAATTAATCAGTCAGGACCTGTAATTGACTCATGTTCTCATACTGTGTCTTCAGAAAGAAGATAATCTGCGGGGGGGGGTGGTGGCAGGGGTGGTTGGTTGATAACATCCTGGGTGAGTGGTGAGGTCCACAGCAGCTTGTCTACATAAGGCTGCTGTTCTTTTGTTTCTGCTCGACTTGGTTTTCTTCTCAGTGAGATGTCACAGGTTCACCTGGGACAGATTGCAGACTGTTGAGGCTTATACAATACTGTGTGGTATCTTTGGTCTTGAAGCACTCCTTAAAAAGGAATAAAAGGTTAAACGGAAAGTCTCCTAGTTTGGATTTCAGAGTCGTAGTGCCCTGTGAATCATGCTGAACTGTAGCATCGCAATTAAGTAAACATTGGGCATCAGCAACTGCTCAGAAATGTTTCTTTTTGAGTGGTCACTTGTGAGCCTTCATTAGATATTTACAGAAAAGCTCAGATTCAGATCTCCTTTATAAAAACACAATGCCGAATGTATGTCTTCCTCGTGAATCCATTTGTTCGTCCTCGTTTAGGGAACTCTCACGTCTGAACTTCTACAGACCAACATGCCCAGTGTCGTGCGCCTTTTCTTCCCTCTTTCCAGGAGTCACATAGGTAAAGCCATCCTGAGCCAGCCAGCTTGTGTGTCCAAACTCCTCTCCCTGCTGCTTGACCAGCGCCCATCTCCAAAGCTCGTCCTTATCATTCTTCAGCTGTGCCGGGCGGCGCTCCCGCTGATGAGCGTGGAAGACTGTGGCAACGTGGAGCTCCCACCGTGGAGCTACTCCGTTCCCTCCCTAAACAGTGAGCAGGAGGATCCCAGCGACCCAGCGTCCAAGATAGCCTCATTGCTCTTAGCAAAGCTGGCAGATTACGTGGTCCCAGGTGAGCAGCTCCTGGTCCCAGCAGGGTGCTGTGGCATCCACTTCCCGGGGCAGGCCAGACTGAGCTTTCCACGGTCTATCACCTGTAGCTGCCGCTGTGCCTCCTATGGTGAGAGAGGAGGAGAAGGGAGAGGGAGGAAGAGAGACTCCAAAATCTGAGCTTGCCCTGTGCCGGGGAGCTGCACAAATAACATTGTGATTTTTCTGTTTGCTTTCAAAGGATGTCAGACAGTTCTCTCTCCAACTGCTTCTGAACCTGACACTACGTTGACGAAAACCAGTCCCAAGAGTTCCTTAAAAGGAGATAAAGATCCTGGAGAAGAGAGTGAAGCAGTGGATGGCAAGCTGTCTATCTTTATCCACAAGCGGGAAGACCAGTCGTCCCATGAGGTTCTCCAGCCATTACTGAGGTAACTGATGATTGTAATAGCTCTGTGTCCTCAGACTCTGTAAGCCCCTTATGTACATCAACTATCTCCACCCTCTTGACAAACCTAAGAAGCAACCACTATTCCTGTCATCCCTGTTGTTACAGTGGAGAAACTGAGGCAGAGCTGAATCACAGATGCAGGCCTCTGACAGCAGAGTACAAGCTGTTATCCATGACTCGGTACTGTTTCTTCAGACCCAACAGAGAGCAAAAGCCCTGTTGAGAATGTATTGTTTGTGCTCAGTGGAGAGTCTGCGGTGTGATTTGGGCTTCGAGAAGGAATAACGCAGGCTGGTTTTAGTTATTGGCATCTTTCAGCCATTGGTCAGTTTAAGGATACCATTGACTGTGAGGTAGAGAAATAAGAGAAACTTTTTAAAACTTTAATTCACTGAAGGTGAATGGTATGATTGCTCAACGGGAAAGTACAAATATACTTACTGTCCAAAGATTACAAACCTCCGGGGCCCTGTTAGTGGGAGCCCGGGCGATGGGAAGGCCTACCACAGCACACGAGGGAGTTGAGGACGCCTGTGTATGTCTCAGGTGGAAGACTTTTTTCTCCAGATAAATGATTGGATGATGGTGTCCTCCTCATAATTGGTCCCTTGTCTGCCGTCATGGCAGCTGGAAGCACTCCTGGGCTACTGTATGAACCAATAGGGCCAGGCAGGTCCTGCTAGATGCGGAAATCACCAAGAAGCATTCTTGGGCTTTGCAGGATTTTAGAGTGCAAATTTGGTGAAGGAGTGTTCGGAGAGGCAGAGGAAGCTGAGTTATCAGAAACATCCAGTCATTCACACCAAGGCATCCAATTCATGCTGCAGTTAAAGTCCCCTCACTTTGGGATTTAGATCACTTCCCGAGTGCCTCCCAGGCCTTCTTGGGATCATAGGTTCAGAGTCTCGAGTTTGTTCAGCTCCGACCAGCACTAGGTTGCCCCACGGGCATGCAGTGCCACCTTGACCTTGCCCGTAAGATGGCCCCCTCTCTCTGCCTTCCCTTCTAGTAGCTCCGAAGGACGGCCCTTCCGACTTGGCACTGGCGCCAACATGGAGAAAGTTGTGAAAATGGATCGAGACATGACGAAGGTAAACCCGATACGGAAATATTTGCCCTGACAAGACCCACGATTGAAGGGCACTTACCATGCTTTCGGTTTTCAAGAGACACTTAAAAAAAAAAAAAAAAAAAAAAAAAAAAAAAAAAAAAAAAAAAAAAAAAAAAAATTTCAAGTTACCACAAGGAGGCAGGGTGAGAAATCGAAGTTACTGGCTTAACTGAAGCTGTTTCCAAGAGAACTAGTTTAGAATCAATTTGTCATTAATGTTAAAATATAAAAGAGACCTCTTGGTTTTGACCTAGAAGTTTTTTCTTAGTTCTGTTAAGAAAGTTGTGCAGCCTATGGGCACCTGGGTGGCTCAGTTGCCTAAGTGTCTGACTTCAGCTCAGGTCATGATCTCACAGTCTGTGGGTTCGAGCCCGCGTTAGACCCTTGCTGACAGTTCAGAGCCTAGAGCCTGCTTTGGATTCTGTGTCTCCCTATCTCTACACCTCCCCCACTTGCCCTCTGTCTCTCTCTGTCAAAAATAAACATTAAAAAAAAAGTTTTGCAGCCTAAAACTGCAGGACACCTGGGTGGCTTAGTCAGTTGACCGTCCAACTCTTGATTTTGGCTCTTGATTTTGGCTTGGGTCATGATACCACAATCATGGGATCGAGCCCTGCATTGGGCTCCATGCTGAGTGTGGAGCCTGCTTACAATTCTGTCTCTCCCTCTGCCCCTCTCACCCGTTGCACACATGCTCTCTCTCGCTCTAAGAGTAAGAAATAAAAAATGAAGTTTTGTAGCCTAATAATACTTTAAAAGGGATCACATGTGAAAGGTTAGAAGACTAATAGATAAGAAATAAAGACGCATAGCTCATAAAAAATAGAAAAATATGCCCACATTTACAAATTACACAACAAAGGATTAAAAATAGTAATATATCCTTTTTCATCTGTCACACGAAGTTAAGATTGAGAATACCCGTTGCGGTCAAGATGAGAGTAAATAGTCCTTCTCAAGTATCTCGATACAACCATGTTCTTCATGTTCTGTTGATAAGAAAACAAAGTAGAATCTGTATACCCCTAAATACGGGATTGATTAAACAATTGTTATGTGTCAATTATACCTCAGGTTTTTTTTTTAATTTAAAAATTTAAATTATATGCATACAACGAAATATCATACAACTATATAAAGAGCTGGGTAGATCTGTATATACTGATATCAAAACACATGATATTTTTATTAACTGATAAAAATAAATAGAAAAACTGTGTGAAGTAAGATCCATGATTATGTATGCCAAAATTTGCATGGAAATAGGGGCACCTGGCTGGCTCAGTTGGTTAAGTGTCCGACTTCAGCTCAGGTCATGATCTCATGGTTCGTGGGTTCGAGTCCCGCGTTGGACTCTGTGCTGACCGCTCAGGGCCTGGAGCCTGCTTCGGATTCTGTGTCTCCCTCTCTCTCTGCCCCTCCACCACTCATGCTCTGTCTCTCCTCTCTCAAAAACGGATAAATATTAAAAAAAAAAAAAAAAAAAAAAAAAAAAAAAAAAAAAAAAAAAACTGCATGGAAAGAAATCTAGAGGACTAACAATTGTGTGACTGGGTGGAGACATGGGATGTTTATGGGAAATTAACTTTCTACACATAGTATTTTGACATGTGAATTTTTAGAAATGAGCCCGGGTTGCCTTGGTAACTGGGAAGCAGGCTTTAACAGGTAAGGAAGCTGAGTGTGGTGACTGTCTCAAACCTCCCTCCAGGGCGGCTGCTGTGAAGTGATTACAGAAGAGGCCGCAGCCGCTCTTCGGAAGGCAACCAAGTGGGCACAGTCTGGCCTCATCGTCAGCGTTGGGCCACCTGTAGAGTCCATCAACCCAGAGACTGTGAGCGGACTGTCCACAGGCGACAAGAAGAAAACCGCCCAGACCTCCATTTGCCGAGAGAGGAACTCGGAGCTCGCAAGGTAGTCTTTCCCTGTCCACGTTTTTTTCAGAGCTACTTTGTAATGGACTTGTGGTTTGGGTTTTTATCGTCTGTCATCCCCTCGACCTGCCAGAAAACGAGGACTGAGGGCTTAAAATACCCAGCCGAGGTTGTGGCGGGTGAATAGGGTGGCACTGCTGGCCAAGTAGGCAGCTTTAGCCAGAGGGTTGTATTTCTGAGAAAGGCCGCCACCAGGAACACCAGCTATGGCTTTTCTGAGCATTAGTAAACTCGGGTCTTACTGCCTCTGTTTCTTCCAAACGATACTTCCCACCAGCCCAACTGTATACAATAACCTCTAAGGAGTAGAGAGGAGTGAGTGTTGCCTCCAACAAGTCTGCAAGGTGTGCTCTTCTTTCAAGCCAGGAATTAGGCGTCTTCCCTCAATCCTGATGGTTTACGCGGTTCAAGGTTGAGGTGTGTTGTTTCAGAGGATTCTTCAGCTACTGGAAGGAATATGAATGAAGTGATTTTTCTTTTCCTGATGATAATTTAGCATCTCTTTTTCTCAATGAATGCACTTTTTCCTGTATGATTAGAAAATTTTTCCATCTGATGATAACCCTAAAAGCCCCCCCATCTGCATTCTTAACCATCCCTGGGCATTGACCCTTTCCCTCCTGACGCTTGCAGGACTGACCCCGTCCGACCCTTCATCAGCGGGCACGTGGCAAACAGCATGGCCGCAGAGGTGATTGCCTTGCTTCATAGCTTGCTGATGGCACCCGAGTCAAATGCTGCTCAGATATGGACCACAACAGCAGAAAAGGTTAGCACGGTGTCACTGCCTCATCGAGGAAGCAAGGAGGAAGTTTGTGTTCTGTTTCAGCATTTGAATCCTGCCTAGCAAGGGTCATATTCTAGTAAAGAGAGATTTCCCAAATTGGCCAGATAGACTGGTTAGCTGTTCTCCCACCCCCACCAACACCACATATTTGCTTTGGTTTAGTGGTTTCACCTCTGTTAATCTATGTCCCCTGTCGCTGCCAGTTCTAATTTTGCAGAAGACCGGACTGTATTCTCAGGGAACGAACGGAACTCCTTGTTTCTCTTTGCTTGTGTTTGATTGGTACTGACACTAGGAAATCACACAGCCTTGGTTTATTGGATTTGTTACGTGTATTTACTAAGTCCTGAGGAGGTCCCTGTGATTTATACCCCCAGACTGCTCTATCAGTAATTCATCACTACAAACAGAAGTCTAGTTTCCTAAAATCTGGGGATCTGTAATCAATTCCCATTTTCCCACTGTCATTTTTCAAGTGAGTGCCTTATAGCACGTCCTCAAAGAAAGTGGGTATTGAGATGTAGGCAGTATGCTGTGATGGTTTTCCATCAGGTTAAGATTTTGCTTTCGTTCTGTTAACACAGTGTTTGTCCCATATGCTGAGGTTGTGTGTGTGCAGTCCTAATTCTATAAGGCAGATACGGCATCAGTCAATGGTCATACCTCGTAGTTACTTCATCCCTCCCATAACCGAAGTTCCTTCGGGACACGGGAGCCAGGCACTGTTACAGACACTTCATCACTCTTAGTGTCAAAAATGACTAAAGCTTTAACTCCTACTACATGGCTGCTTTTTCAATGTAGGTTCTGTCTCGTGCGCTGATGTACATTCCACAGTTGGGGAAATACGCAGAGAGCATTCTGGAAAACGGCAGCAGCAGTGGCAGGAAACTCGCCAAACTTCAGAGAATCGCCCGCCAGGCTGTCGCTGCACTGTGTGCTCTCGGAGGATTCAAAGAGACCATCAAGATAGGGTCTGAGGTTCAGGTAACCAGCCAGCGTTTCCCAAGTCACTGCTCTCCCCAAGTCACTGCATCCATTGATTAATTGATCATCTGTAAGATGGCATCATCCACCCGAATGGACAAAGATCCTTGTTCTTTTGAGCTAAACAAGGAATCTGAGAAACTCACGAATTCTAATCCACACTGTGCTACAGATTACTTAAATGTTAGTACAGTATTATATAATGTTAACTATAATACTTGTGTCCTATGGTGTCACTAATATTTTAGAGTTGGGAGTTTGAGAGTCTGTCATCTTGTGATGACCTTGACACAGATTTTAGGGCCTCTATTATTTTAACTCCCATTCAGTGCATGGTACCTGCATTGTAATAAACATGCAGTAATTCCTGCATTCTTGTAATGCCAACTGACAACAGCTGCGAATTTGCTCCTCCCCACCTGTCACATGAGAGCGTTATGAACACCATCGTTGCTGGTCGGCAGTTCTAACCCATCGTTGTCTCTAGGTTTTAGGTAGAGGAATATCAGGAAGCATCGGAGTAGTGGCTTCTATCAATGAACAGGAAGGTATAGCTACAGTCAGATTCCCACCCATAGACTGTAGAAAGACTTCGCAAGCGTCAGACACATTGACTATTCCATTGTCTAGACTTTGTGTTCCAAGATCAGAGGTAAGGTGATTTTTAAATGCATTATCACATGTCACTGCAAATGGTAACCATACCGTAATGAGCAATATGCACATTCATAGTGCAGAGGCACAAATACCTGGTTATCTTAAATGCTACTTGGGATGTATATTTATGTATTGGGCATAATTATTTAATAGTAACATTTATGTGAAAATTTCACCTAGGTGACGAGATTCATCTCTTTGGTTAGGAATATTCCACAGTGTGTTATATTTTTAATTGTTTTGGTCTAGTTTGCTATTTTCTGTATGGTGATTTTATTTTTTTAACTGAAATTGTGAGAATTAACTCCAGATAATAATGCCCTCATTTCTTATAAACTAACTACTTGAATTTAACTTTCTGCCATGCCCCCCCCCCCCCCCCCCCCCCCCCCCCCCACCACCATCAGGCACTGCCTCTTCATAAACTGTCCATTACTGAGAAGGTAGTACAGGCAGTCCAGTCCATGTTGCTTCCTCAGGAGGGAAGTCTCTCTATTCATACCTCACTTCCTGCAACAGGAGATGGGTCAGCTCCTGTGATGGCAGTCGTTCGGCTCCTGGCTGAAATAAGAACAAGGTGAGCACCCGGGCCACAGAGGCGGGGCGGGGGGACTCCACTCCCGGCTTAGTGGGTCCACAGGTGAAGTCCATGCCAACGTGAGAACGGAGACCGTTGTCTTGAGCTTTGTTGACTACCTTTTTGTCGCATTCCCCAATTTCTGCAAGTTCTGTTGCATTGTGTAATTTCTACACTTTGAAACACTTTAGCTGTTCCCCTAAGAAAATAAGTAAGCCATCAAGATGTGGTCTATGGAAAGTGTGCTTACGGCTCCACCGCTCTGCTTTGGTAAAAGTACTTTGTTCTGTCCCGGGAATCCTTCTGCCACTCTACCTTGTGTAAATGGGTTGGGCCGCATTAGCATACATCTGGTCTGTCGCTTTCCAAACCCATGATGAGAAAACTAGAACGCCCTCAACTGTTGGTGTCAGAAGGAAGAGTAGTGTTTTCTTGCGAATGCATTTATTTGGCACAAAACAACGTCAACAAGTTTCTCTTTTGGCGATGGGACTTCTTAGAAGGTTCTAAGTTGCATTTTGAAGTAGGTGACAGATCAGCATACAGATTTTCCAAGCGTTTGGGTCCCTCTCGTTCCCAGAACACTAATACTGCCCGAGGAGCACAGATGAGGAAGCATTGTTAAGAGATGATGCTGATTTCTCACGTGGCACTCTGTGTCTGCATTTAGGAGAGATGGCAACCGCTTTCCCCCTCTCTGCTTGTCGGCAGTGTCAGCAGTTACTGTGGGGCACAAGGAAAGTTAGACCACTCCAGCTCAGGGGAGCGTGGAAAAAAAAAAGCAAGAGGAATGGGGAGTGTGAATCTTTTTGTAAATTACGGGACAGAATTGATTGAAATGCTTTTCACAGTTAACTTGTTAGAGAATGAACATTGATGACCTTGAAATATTGTAAATCTTTTAACATTAAGAGCATGCCTGGTCATGGCCCAGCTTTTAGAAGACAGCTTGTTTTGTGAAGAATTCATACAACAGTGTCCCGCAGCTGTCGAAGTGCTCAACCTAGTAGCCCAGGAGTGCAGTGCGGGTAAGTACCTGTGGCTTTCCTTTCCACCCGACTTTATTGAGTTTGTCAGTACATTTCCAATTTGATGATGGAATGCTAACATTTGTGTATACGTGCATGAACTTACACACGCGCAAACACACACATCAAACTGCTGAGCTCTGCAGACAGCACTTATCACAACTTTTATCTCAGATCTAGAAATGTAAACAGCTTTTACTACATGCAAAGTAGGAAATCAGCATTTAAAAAAAAAATTTTTTTTATGTTTTTATTTTCTTTTTGAGAGCCAGAGAGTGCTAGCAGGGAAGGGGCAGAGAGAGAGGGGGACACAGAATCCAAAGCAGGCTCCAGACTCTGAGCTGTCGGCACAGAACCTGACACAGGGCTCAAACTCCCGGATGGTGAGATCGTGACCTGAGCCCAAGTCAGACGCTTAACCGACTGAGCCACCCAGGTGCCCTGGAAACCAGCATTTTTAAATTTAACTTGAGGACCATGTCAGTGTCCTCCATTAATTTCATTGCATTTGTTTCCTTGCTAGAACTATCTGT